ATCACCAGCAGTACTTGAGGCAACAGGGGTAATCTGAACTGACTGGAAGGCAGTGGGTACCCACAGCTCTGGGTGAGCACTGACTTCTGTTCTGAGGCCAAAGACAAGACATAAATGGCAACAAACAAACGGCTGAACTGTAATCAAGCTTTCTACTGTCAAAGAAACAGTTTTAAAGCCAGAATCAGTGCTCAATATTCAGCTGCAAAGCAGTCCTCCCTTCATTTTTCAGGCCATCAAGTGCCTGCAGACAGACAGACTGGCATCCCACCTGTGGGAGCTGTGCTGCTCTGCAGGAAGTAATGCTACCCTGCAAGGCCAGGGAAGGAGTATGGTCAAGATCATCCTGTGAGTCACTCACTGATTAGGGAAAAAGGCCTCGATCACATTTCCTGCAGTGGGCATTCTGCAACCCCAAGGAATGTTGTCTGCCTTAGTATAGCTTGGCTTTCTGAATGAGTATCTGACCAGAGCTGCAGCCCTAACCTTACCCTCAGGCTCAGATCCTCCTCCAGTTTCTGACTCAAATCCCTAATGGACTCTTGGTTTCATCCTTCCTTAAATATTCCTGTCCTGCCGTTCCATAGGACATTTGTGAGTTACCCTCACTGAGATCTGATCCTTTTCCAGTGAAAAGCTACCATCCTGTCCTCCACACTGATGTAGCAACCAGCTCTTAACACACCACTCGACAGCATTTCCTTCAAATACTTTTCACTTACAGAGAAAATCCTCCTACTCCACCAGAATAAGCTGATTTCTAAGGAAAAATATATTACAGCTACTATTTGTTCTGTGACTGTGTTAGAAGCCTCACTGGGGAAAGTTTTGTGCCAGAAAGAAACCCCATTCCAAGAAACAGCCGCATCCTGAGAGTTAATACAGAAACAGGAAAGCTTCGTCAAAGCAGAGACAGAGCACACACTGACATAAGAGAGAACATGACTGCCAGCAGCCCTTCTGAACCATCTTCTGATTCAGCACTAGCAATTGCTCCCTGCTGCCAGAACACCCCACCATTACCAATACTAAACTGGAGCATTTTCTATGAACCTTATCTAGACCTGCAGGAACTGAAGGCCATTATTTCCCATGAGAGTTATAAATGACATGCAATGAAAATAGCTACATTTATCACACTTATCTCCCTATGTATAGGGACACAGTGAGTTCATTTGTGGGGTGGGTAAATGAGTAATCAGTTTAAGCCAAATGAGGATTTCTGGGTGCCTGAAGAATAGCTTATCTACTTGGCAGACACCAAATCCTCTTCCAGTAAATACACTGCAGCCAGTTGTGCCATGCATGACTAGTAGGTATTCCCCAATACCTGTCAAAGTCCACCTCCATTTCCTCCTGCACTTCAATGGACACAAGTCACTTTTTCCCTTTATCACACAATAATTGAAACAAAATATGAAAGTAAATGTGTAATAGTGCTCTGAGGTGCTTTCCCTTTGGCACTTGACCATGTGAAGGGGCAGCGTGGTCTAATGGTGTGGTGCATGAAAACTTGCCAGAGAGTGAGGAAGATGCACAATGAACAGCAAGATGCTACATCCAGTTCTCCAGCACTTAGCTAGCACAGATGACTTCAAGAATTTGAAAATGCAAAATGCTCCAAGCAACAGCATTTTGTGAGACTACAGTCATCTCCTTCCCCACTTTCAAAAAAAAACATGAGACGAGAAGGCTGCATTTTGAGTTACAAGGTTTAGCAACAGAGCAGGAAGGAAATGAGCTGTTTGCCTGAATGTGATTTAAGTAACAGTGTTTGCTCTGTTACAAGCCTGTCAATGAAGGGTGTCTTTGTCAAACTGGGAATCCGAAACGTGGCTCCCACAAAAAGCATAGCAGCAGGCTCCCGTGTGTGTGTGCGGGCAGTCACAGGATGTGGCTCATTTGAAACCTTTAGGGATATTATCGCAGAGGAAATATTTGTACCCAGTAATGGCAAGAGTCCATCTCAGACAGCCACACACGTGCACCTCCAGCTCTGAACCAGAAACTAGTAAAATTCAGTAAAATGGAGTCCTCAGATTGTTATGCGTAGGTGAAATGTGCACTATCCAAACAGACAGGAGCGCTTTAAGGACAGGAATATGAGATTTGATAAACCTGCAACGAAAAGTACCTCCATCCCAGCAAACCCCAACAGCACGTAGCAGGACAGGTGGTTTTGGGGAGCAAGAAGATACTTGGACTTGGCATGCTGATTACTGGAGAGAGAGAGTTAAAAGAACATTCCTATCACCAACTGTTGTCTAGTAAATATCACTCTTTCCAATGCACCCTTTATCTTCTGCTTTAATTGAATGCTTAACAATAGTTAATGAGATCCACATCCGCTAGATGCACAAAGCTCCTCATGAGCTCACTAGTTTGTTTAAGGAAAACCTTTGGTTTCTGATTAAATCCCCCAAATCCCCACAGAAGAATAAGAAGGTGGAAATAAACCAAATGCAACAGTTTAGTCCGGAGGCTAATTTACTATGGGGATTTCCTACAGACAGGAGCTGAAAGTGGCGATGGCAGAACAGTCCCTCATCCATCCCAGTGGGAGCACACACTGCTGGGGCACTTCTCAATCCCCCAGAGAAGTGCCAGGTAGCAGGGCAATTCAAACTAGCCACCAACAACTTCAGTGTTCAGGGTGGGAAAGGCTGCCGGCACAGCCACCCCTCACAAAGCTCCTTTGTCTCACCACTCACTGCTGCAAGCACTGGCCCTGCAGCCCCAGCTGGGTGCTGCCATGCACCATTATCGAGGTCACTGTGGAATTCCTCGCTGTTAGCATCATGCTGTGCTGGTAGGGATTTAACTTAAGCAGCTGCAATACCCCTGCTTCTCTTGACCTAAACCCAGGGAAGCTCTGGTCTGGGAGAGGAAGTCACCTAGTGGGTACAGGGCGAGGACAGCGTGTCACTAATGGGATAGGCAGACTTGACGTGGAAGGCTGAGAAGTGCTGACAGTGATGTGATCAGGGAACAAAACAACCCACATCCCCAGCATTGGTTATGGGGCTCCCAGGGTGCTTTACAGCATCAGTTTCTTACATGTCCAGGGTTTCCCACTGACAGAAGCTACAGGACTCCTTCTCAAGGTGTTCCACAGCGGCCAGCCAGGGTAAGGCCACCAGCACTCAAGTGTTCCAACGTTATGACACCAAACTCATCTCTGGACGAGGGCAGGAAAAAACATCCTCAGTGAAGAGGATGTGACTCAAAGCAGCCATGGTACCCTGCATCCTTGACCCCTTTACGGGCCTGCTGAAATGCTCCTAGACTTGCAGGGACCCGGGCTGCTCACAGGGCATGGCTGAGTGTAAGGGCTGGCACCAGCGTGGAGCTCAAGGATGCTGCTTCCAGCTGGTCCATGGACAAAACCCATCCTCAGGCAAGTACAGGGGAGCTTGTTCTTCCTTCACCCAGACCAAAAACTGAGCAACAGCTGCCTGCGACAGCACAACCACTCTGCTCTCCCCCATCTCCAGTTTAACATCCAAATGAGCTGGAGCTGCCCTCAGCAGGGAAAGCCAGGCACACAACAGGCTGCTGCACACCTATGTTGCAACACCCAGTAGAAATCCACTGCAGTGTCCTGGTGGGAAACCAAGGAACGTTTCACGCTTGTCCTTCAAGTTTTGGGAAGGAGGTTGTGTAACCCCCTTGATGCGAGAGCCCAGCCCAGCCTGCAGTCCAGGAGGGCACAGACAGCTCAAAATAACAACTTAGCTCTTTCTAGAAGAGCAGGAAATTACTGTTGTTTTGATTTGTGGTATGACTGGACTGCAGTACAGCCTGTGGCATCCACCCATTCTCTCGGAGGGGTTATGTGAATACGGGTCCCTTCACTAACTGTCCTCTGTGCTGTCTATTTCGGCTTCAGCACATGATCCATGGTCAAGGCAGACTGAGGAAGCCTAATGAGTCACTTGCTTCTTTGTTATCCAGGAATATTTTTTTTTCTCTCTGAATTGGAGTCCTTCTGACTCTTATTGCAAGATAACCAAATGGAACCAGCAGAAAAATTAGGGAACATGATGTAACAGTCCTTTAGGATATGATCTAAAAGCCTCTTCTTGCCACAAAATTCAAAGCAGCCAAACCACAGGACAAAAACAGCTCAGAGCCCATTGTCTACTTTTCTTACACTTACAAGACACTGATGATCTTTACTCTGTGGAAAAACAACTCCAAATAGTCACCCCTCAAACACGCTTTTGTCTTCCATTTTCCTCATTTCTTTATTAATTTCCCCAAGTACGTCCTAAACAACATCTACTTATGTATCATAGTTTATATGGAAGCAATTAGTTTTATAAATTAATCATAATGCACATCTAAATCTACATTGAACTTGCATCCAAATCATCATCACATTGTCATGGTTATATGATTTATTTCGATTTAACCACCACCAGTCTGTTTAGGAGGAAAACAACCCTCACAGAGGACCCAGCCATTCCATAAGTTACCACACTCTCAGTTCCACTCCTATAACTGAAACAGAGCTGCATAACATAACTGAATGTCAGATACGAGGTTCTTACATGCAACAGACAAGATATTGTTGCCTCTGGCATGACCTTTACTGGGCTGAACACTTATCCTCTAAGATACAGGCAGGCTAAAAGCGGTGCTTCTCAAAGATGACACAGGTGGAAGGATTTATTTTTTTTTTCCAGTTATTTACACAGCTGTACAAAAGCCTGTTTGAAATCCCAGGCATGGTTGAAGATGGAAGGTAGACTTGGTTTGCCTGAGCAGTCTCCAACATGAACTTGATCTACAGACACACTGTGGTGATCTGTGCTGGATGGACTGTGTTGATGAGGATAACTGACATCCCTGGCAAAGTAGCTTCCTAAGGACCAGAAAAAAACATGTGGAAGAAAACGCATAAACTGAAGTAACAAATATCTGTTATCTGCGCTTTGGCAGCCAGCCCCTCAACAAGCACCTTCTTCTCTTTCCTACCCCAGGTAGCTACGAACACATTCTTGCCAGGTGTTTTCACACAAGTTTATTTTAATGCATCAACAGATGGGACTGATCTGGCAGCTTTCACCACTGCATTTTGTTGCTTTACGAGTTACAAAAGGTCTGAGGAGGTCGGATCAGGCTCACGCAGTAGGAAGCACAGCTTGTGCTGCGCTCTTCCCTGCACTCTGGAAACACCTAAAGCATTTTGATGCAGGTCCAGCTCATTCACTTGTACCTTTCCAAACACTGTCCCATGAGTTCCATAAATTCTCCAGTCAAAACTGTGCTCACAGATAGCAGGCACACGAGATGGATTCATTCTGCGGAATGGAAGTCATTCATCCACCTCCTGCCCCAGGCTTCTCTTTTCCACGTGCTCTTCTGCCTACAGAAAAACATATCAGAGGTTTAGCATATGCATATACACCCATGCACAAGCACTTCTTATCTTTACGGATTGGTTGTCTTCATCCAAGTCCCAGCCGGATCCAAAATAATATGGAAAATGGAACAAAAAATATGGTGTAGCCATATGACCTGTATCTGAGCATGTGATGAAACAGACACACTGCACACAGTGGAACATGCCTTGGTCTCCCCATTAAATCTGTGTGCCTGAATGAACCTGAGGCTGTGGTGTTTGAAGTCAGAAGAGGCAAAAGAGCTGAGCTAAGACTCTTTTCCCTTGTTTCAAGCCTTCCCCTCTCTTATTTGCCAGGACAGATTTTTCCACCTGAAGAACGGGTGGTGGTTTCCTGCATGCCTTGAGAAGGCAGGTATGTCAGTGCTCACAGCTACTCTCTGTTCACCAGTGCCTTTGCAAAATCCCTTAATGGAGAAAGTGTGTATGCGGCTGGGGAAAAAGAAACCTCTTCCTTTTGTGGTGTTAGATCTGATCTCAGCAGACTATGGCCTGACACTGAACTAGGTTAGAGCTAGATGGTTGCAGTTGATGGCATGGCTGAAGGGGTGGCTACACTTCCTTATCTGGTCTTCAAAAAAGTGTTTTCTTATTTTCTGTTCATATCAGTACCAAGAAGGCCAAGACAACCAATGTATGTCAGGTGGTCTTCCTCAGGCATGCTTCTTCCTTCCCTGGCCTCCATCCTAAGGAAAATGCCTTAGACCTTCTTCCCTGCAAAAACAGCAGAAGCAAAGAACTCTGAGCTGGAGCCAAGAGGAATTACTGTGTGCAAAAAAATCCCATTGCACTTCAGATACTTTTAAAAGAAACTTTGCTAGTATAACAGGACCTATTTCAGCTCCTGCAGGGACAAGAGAACCAATGCAGGACAACTGAGTTTCTGATATATAGCGAATAACTGCTACTCACACCTCATACAAGGATAAAGACAATAGATCACATGCCAAACAGGGCACTTTCACACTCCTACAGCCCTGAACTCTAGTTCGCAACAGAATCAACACTTTAGTTTTGGTCTCAATTTTTGTAATAAAGCACTGGCCAGTAAGCAGAGCACATGTTCTACAATCAGTCTATCTGTTCCCAGAGAAGAGCTGAAGTAGTCACCTGTTTATACATATTCAAATACTTTCAGTTCCTCTCTCTATCAGAGGGGTAAAAATCAATTTTAACCAGCTACAGCTATCCCCTCACCAGCCTTTAACTGAAACCTGTCTACTAAGTTCTCATGTTCTGTTCAAGTTTGACACAAGGAAATGTGTTAAACTACACATTACACCTACAAAACAAAGAGCCCACTCCACCAGAATTCTGACTAAATCTTTCTACTGAATTTGTGGAAAATGCTTATGCCAACAGGAACTTTTTTTTTTCCTCTTCCTTTAAGCACATTAATTTTTGGTGCTGTTTTTCCCTTGGAAAACTCCAGACCCAGACTAGCATCTCTGGTTACTACATTTGGGCCCAAGTGACCCTATCCCATGCTCCGTTTTTGAAACGAGAGGGTCAGGCACCCAAAACAGGGAGCCTTAGCTTCAAGTAGTTCAAGTATAGGATTAAATGTAGGTCTCCCATATCCTGGGGAAACAGTCCACCCACTCCTCTGGCTGTGGTTAATCATCCTCTCAGATTTCATGAAAAATAAAACTCTGGCCTTCACCATTTTGAATGAGAACATTGCAGCTGTAAGATGCCAAACAGTAAAGAAAACATTTCCCCAAATCACGTTGTTCTACCATCAGGGAGGGTATGTACAACTTGAACTTATAATGCTTGGGTTTCTTGGCTTTTTTCCCCCCTTAAAAAAGTTCAGAGTCTGATAGCTTTAAAAATGGCTTATGTAAAGCCAGGCTTACAAGAAGATTTGTGCGCACCCCAAATCTAAACCCCAGGTTTATAAAAAGCCTTCTTTAAAATAAAGATCTTTTAAGTTGCTGGGTTTTCCTAATCAAAACATAAATTTCCTAGAAACCCTAGGCCTAATTCCACAGGGCCCCAACCTTTTTGTCATTCCCCACTCCCATTTTTGGATCTGGTAATTTTTCCACCATAAGTCAGAGAATCGGAGAGGTCTGCTCCCAGGGAATGTGCCTGAGCCCACGAGGGCTGGGATACAGGGCTGCTTGGGGTGGGAGACGGTTTGCCTTGTGCCGAGGGGGAATCACCCACAGGCTGGGAGGATGGGATGGGGCCCAGCCATTATCTGACTGGCTCCACTGGCACCAGGGAAATGAAATAAAGCAGATACAAACAACGGGAAATGCTGCCAAAGCGTCATGCTCCGAATCCTCCAGAGCCTGTGGATGCTGTAATCCTTCATTGTCTGCTGAAATCGGTTCTTTATCTCCCCCTATTTGCTGTCATCGCGGCTCACTTCTACTCACTAGAAAAAAGTTAACGCAACCCAGAGCAGTGTGTTGTTATAGCGCTCTCGGTTGCACCTTCCCAGTCTCTCCCAAAGGACCCTGCCATCATCCACTGAGGGTGCAGTCGTGGTCTGGGATTTTTCAAAGCCCTCTCTCACTTACACATGGTCCTTTCCTCACTGTCACTCTTGTACCAGTGTGCTCTAAACAAGCTTGTATGTAATGCAAAGGAGTTCTTGCTCTCTGTAGAGCACATTTCTTCTGCCCAGATTTCATCTAAGCAAGCTAAAGCAAAGCTGTGCAAAGATACTTGGGCTTCAGAATAGTTGTCCAGCTTAAAAACAGAAGGTGAAATCATTGTTCAGTAGAAAGTGCACACTTAAACTTTCTTGTGCACTAACTCATCTCTACAGGCAAGCACTGATATTACTATAGTGAGTCATCAAAGCAACTGTATTTATAATCACACTCCCTGATGTTTCAAAACCACACAAGACCTAAATCTCATTATAGCAATGCTAAATGTTCTGATGGTCCCTCAGATGCACATGCTTTGGTTTGAAATTCTAGAGCATGACTGAGTTTTAAAGGAGAAACTGTCCTGTGAATAGGAAGCACTGAGACTCAACCTTCAGATCATCAGCCGTTGTCTAGGTCAAACTAAAAGCACGATGGATAAACCAACATTCCTGTGCACAATGCCATGGTGTGAATGGACAGACCTGTGTCCCCTGCAAAGCTCTCCTGCACAGACATCCTTGTCCCTGTTGTAGCTGTACATTTTGGAGTGACAAGCTGAAAGTTTTTGCAAGCTGAAAACTAATGAAACCAGTGCCTGGACTCAGGCATGTATTTCAGATTTGTTTGATGCAGACTATAACTTTTCCCAAAGTAGTGAGCAGACGTGAATAGATATATACATCTTATCCTATTCCAGGCAGTGCTGAATGGTCCCAGGCTGAAGGAAACATGATATATGGGAACAGCATAGATTGCCTGTTTAAAACAGGTTTCACTAAGATCAACAAAACTCGAGGGATTTCCACAAGATAGTCTCCTGGTCATGTTTCAGAGACTGCCTCAGAAAACCTTCTGTCTTTATATTCTGTATAAACTCTTCCCTCTTACTAACATATGCTACAAATAGTGAACGTCCATGTATGTTTTAGTGATGCTCTGCAGCTAGATGCATCACACATTGCTTTCAGCAGTGTTACGTTTTCCTCCCTTGCCTGCCTACATGCTTATAAACACACCTGATAATATAGTGACCCAGTCCTACCCAAAGAAATTACAAACAACACTTTGAGCTGCATCACTTCTCCTTACCACCATCAGGCTATATTGGTCTCTTCTGGCAGTAAGCTACCAACCAAAAATGCAGTGGAACAAACAGTTCACACAATCTTCTTGAGACCCTAAGAAATTACTGAAGCTATCCTTTTCCTGAATTGCATGGCAGCACTATGCAATTCAACCCATTGGGAGAAGAGTCAGAGAAGGAAAAACTCATCAAAACCACATCAGATTATCAACATGTGCCTTTTGCTCCAAGGACAGCATTCACTTTATTCCCTTTTGTCTTACTTCCCCTGACTGCTACAGGACTCGACCCACACATGTTCCAACAACACTGCACAAATTTCCCCTAATTGATGTCTCCACTCTTCCAGTCTCACTTTTCTTCTGCTCCAGACTAGAGCATCCACAAATCAGGATCTCAGCCTTATTCCCTGAGCTTCCTGCCTCTCGCTAGCAGGTTGCATGGCAAACCAAAAGCACGTTTTCCCCAGGCTACGTGGCTAAGCATACCTGAGTCAGACCTGCGGTTTCACACTGTCACCAGGAACAACCTTGATAGAAGAATATAAACCACCACCCTAGAGATGCCATTACGGAAGAGCTTTTCTATCTCCATCAGATTTATTTGACCACCCCCAGCCATGTAACCTCTCAGCAGCAGAAAGTAGGAAACTGCCCCAGTGAGCTTGCCAACACTGTCAAACACATTGCCTGGCCTACCTACACGGGGTCTACATCAGCAGATAAATGAGTCATCCTGAAGCAGGAGAGGTCTCAATAAACAGACATGACTTTCCACAGGCAGGAAAATAGTAAGTGTCATACTTTATACCTTTTCTTGTCCTGTTCCCTACTGCTGCTTGTTGCAGCACTAGGACTTCTGCAGATTTTTGTCACAGTCTGAGGATTCAGATTTCTCAGGGCCATTTTTTGAAAGAGAAGGCAAATGCACCATGAATTAGAAAGGAGGTTTTTGCCACCTGGGAATGCTGCCTAGGAGAGCAGATGTCATTGCACAACACAGCGGGATTATAGCCTCCCTGTGCTGCTCCCGCACCCTCCTCTGCTCCCTGCCATTTCTGCTGCAGGCATTTTGCTGTCAGTAAGAAGGAATCTGTGAGATGTTTCGTGTTGTATTGGCTGACTGAGGAGCTGATTATCACCATCACCCAATTCTACGTGTTTTTCCCTCTCACATAGATTCTCTCTCCAAAGCCACTGAGACTTAGGGGGCTGCTGACCTGTTTTCCAGCCGGCACAAGTTCCTCTTGTGGTGTCAAAAGAAAAGGCTCTCTGACCTCAGGATGGTAGCACAGGGAGAACACTCATAGTGAAGTGCTGCCTGTGAAAGCGTTGGGGACATCTTTTTGACTGTGCCTTGCTCCAAGTATTGACAGCACTTTGATACCCAGCAAACTTTTTGCTCCATTTAAAGGAGCATGATTTCTATCAAAAAGGCCTCTCTGGGGATGTAGGTTCTGCCTTACTCATGCTGCATCTTACCTGGTTTGCACAGATGTGATATGTTGCTTTGTATTGAGTTCCCCATCTCAGGTGCTCTCACTATTTTGCTGCTTGCTGGAGGTGCTCAGGGTAACTCCTGCCACTCCCCAGAACCTGGCAGCTTGTGCTGCCTGCACCAGACAATAGCTCAGCAAACAACAATACCCCAGAGGCTGGGGAAGCCCAGAACCTGCTGTGTGCAGATGCCCCGAGAGCCTGGCAGCCTCCGTGGTGAATGCCAGGTTCACCAGCCTGCACAGAGTGACATGCCCAGATTGTGTTGGGTGACTCAGACTCTGCTTCATCGCTGGGGAAGATGTAAGGATAAAAACCCCACACACTCACTCACAAAAGCACAGCAATCAAGCAGAGCTACGAGAGGATACAACACAGAAGGAGCTATGAGATGGTGCTTGGCCACTGTTCCAGCGGTAACTCACTGGCCTGCTTACAGCTCTCTTGCTCTGCAGAGACCTTGAATAAACTTCTCTCTTTTTCCAGCTGTTGAAGAAGGCCATGCTCTTTTTTCAGCACCCAAAAGGAGAAAGGGGGCATCCTACCAACCTCTTGCTCCCTCATACTAGTTTGGAAGATACCATATGGCAGTGTGCACCACCTCCTCCAGGCATAAGACGTACACACTTCTTGATATTTTAACCAAGGCTGCCTTCCACAGCTTACAGCCTCCTTCAGATATGATGTATCATGAGCAACCATCACTGTACTGTTTCTTTTTAAGCTCTGCCCAGAATGTATGTATACCATAGAAACTCAAATGCAGTTCACAATTAGTTTAAGGTCAGGTCTGCCTGACCTTTCTTCTTCCTTGTTCCTTTCCCCCAAAGCAATGACCACAGCAGTTTGTGGGGTGTATTTTCTGCTTGGAAAAGCCCAGGATACATGGGACATTCACACCCAAGCAACAGCAGAATCACCAGCATGTCACGCTCACTGTGCACCCTGATAAACTGGACTCATATGGAAAGTCAAACTACAGTGCATACAACAACCACCCATGCTGTGTGTGCACAAGAGGGACATACCCACAATGAATTAGTCACTACCATCATTCTCTTCAACGTACTTGCATCCTTATCTCAGCCTTTGATTTCCCAATTGTAAATACATAAGAAAAGTTCCCATATTAAAACCTTAGCCCAGCATGGTGTAAAATCAAGGGCACAAAGACACTACTTTAAAATGTCTCTCTGTACAGGTCAGAACCATCCTCAGTTTCAATTAGCCTGCAAAAACTGTTTCCACTTTCTCCGTTTTATGTTTCACTCCCTTCCTCTTCTCACTGTGCTAAGAGGGGCTGCTTGTATTCCATGAAGCGCTCCTTCATTGCTCTCACATCTAAGCAGAAAAATATTTTCTATGACATTTCAGGAAAGAAGCTGCGCAATTGTTAGTTCCCCTGTAGGTCTGTCAAGACGCACGCATACAGAGCTTTTACATTTCAAATCTATCTCTCATTTCTGTTAAACAACTCAAAATTTACTGTGAGAGTGGCAAGACACTAGAACAGGCTGCCTGGAGGAGTTATGGCTGCGCCACCCCTAGAAGTGCTCAAGGCCAGGTTGGACAGGACTTGGAGCAACCTGGTCTAGCGGAAGGTGTCTCTGCCTGTGTCAGAGGGGTTGGAACCAGATGAGCTTCCAACCCGAACCATTCTGTGATTCTGTGAAATTCAAAAGTGCACTGGTGAGTTTGAAACCACAGCTCTACATCTGCAGAAGTTACAGGGGCAGCAACTTGCTCTGGATGCTACAAAGGAGAGGGATCTTTGTTAGCAATGGGCGTTGGGCCACAGCGGTTTCGCGCACTCTCAGCAGACTTGGATTTAGTACCTATACAAGTCATGGGAAAAAGCCAGTGATTTAAACCAGTCAGATCATAGACTTATCTCTGAGCTACGGCGGCTTCTCTCTGCTGTCCTTGCCAGTTCCTGCACCACAGCAGATTGGAGGGGCTCTTTCTCGTGCATCTCTTCTTATTGCATTGCCCACCAAGGACCGCTGATGGCTGCAGTGCACTCTGCCTGCCTGGGCACATCACCACCCTCCCCTGGTGCCATGCACCTCACTCCCCACAGCACTTTACCCTACTATGGCTGCCATGGGCAGGGGGAAATAGAGACTCCCTGGAAGGAGGAGCTGTGATTCCAGGCTCCAGGATTTTTTCCAAGTGAGTTTATAGATGGGGATGGCTCTCAGGGCCTTTGATGGGAAATGCAGGTGTTTTTCAGGGATTTGTTTTCCAGCAGAAATACGCAGGAAGTGAACCCTTTCACATACACAGAACCCTCAAATTAAAATGAGTTTTCAACAAACGTCCCAGCCACCTGTAAAGGCAGCTTGTTTTCAGAGCTGGATTCCCTGGGAGCATTGAGGAAAATAACAAAAAGTGACAGAAATGTGCAAGCTGATAAAGCAAGCACTGCGAGAATATCTTCATCACTTCCATTCACTAAGGCTAGCAGATGCTAAGTTCAAAGCAAGGAAAAGTAGAGCCTCCTTCAAGCAACACTCACTTCAGCTGTGGGAATAGTTGCTACAAGATGTTGCTAAAAGTTTATACAAGTTTAAAAGGTGCTGAAATTACTGAAAGGAGAAAGCATCCAGGGTTATAGATATTGATTCCTGTGCAGGTGATCACCAAGCCAAAAATTGCTGGAGGCTGGGAGAGCATTTGGGAAAGTATGACTACATGCCTGCCTTGAGGCTGTAATTTCCTTAGGGCACCTGTCATCCAGTGATGGGGATGGGTTCTGAAGCTGGAAATACCTCTTTGTCCTGGCATTCTTCAGCCTTTCCTACACTTCGGAGGAAGGACACAGCAGGAAGTGAGTGACTGGCATAGGGTACCAGGCATGAGAGAGAGATGCTCACCTGCTTCCCATATTCAGCCCAATGGTTACATCCATCCAGCCAACGTGAGCAGCTTTCCATCTTGCCCATGGAGCAGGCATCAGTGATGGACAGATAGTGCAGAAAGATGACCAGGGGCAATAAAAACGACAGAGCATTTTCTAGCAGTCCAGAAAGCATTTGCAGTCAGTCTGCAGCCCTCCAGTGTGCTCTGCAGCACTCCCGGTCTTACACCCTCCTTCAACTCTTTCGGCTACGGGTCAAAATCTGTGCCATTCTGTACGTAATAAACAGCAGCTGCGATTAACCTGAAGGGAGGAGGGACTGACCTGGTCGTGGTGCCCATAGAGAACAGCGCCCAGCAGATCCCATGGGCTGCTGATAGTTAGCGCTGGCCTCCTGCGATACCACACCACGACCAGCTCTCCCACCACCCTCTCCCCGTGCTCCCCAGCCCCGCACGCTCCCACACCGCTCTCCCCGACAGCAGCCTGTAGTGCCGGCTCTTCCCGGTCCGCCGGCAGGTCCCCGGAGCTGGGCGGGCACCGCCACCTAGGGACCCGGCAGCAGAAGGCTGCGGCACCCCGCGCTGCCCGCCGGGGCCACGAGCGGGTTCGCCTGCAGATGAGCCCGCAGGGTGCTAGGGGCACGGCCGGAAAGGAAACGCGGAGGCAGGCAGGATGAGAAGCACTGGCTGTGTCATGGGGGGGACGTCACACAAACGGAGGTGAGAAAAGGGGGAGTGCTCGAACACTTTCTCCATCTGGCACAGGCAGCCAAGCACAACAGTTTTAGGTACCCTTCTTCTTGGGGTACTCTCGATTTGTTTCACCTCTTTATTCTGTGCCATTTCCATTGTCAGCGTCAATCACAGTGATGCTGAGCACATGGTTGAAGACCCATCTGACAGCTGAAGAACAGATTGGCACCTGGTTTGTGCTGTTTAAAGTGCATTTCTTTTCTCGGAGTTACTCTGACTAAAAGATCCAGACACCCAGTGTAGTATGGGTACTGCACCCCATTTCATGGTGCAGTCATGCTTAGGGGCTCCCAAACCCACCCTCAAGTCCCACTCCTTCCCGCTCCCTCTGCTTAGGCTGTTGCTGTGTCCTTCCTTGCACCAGTGTGTCCTTGTGCCTGCTCAGTGGAGGACCCCCTTTTTCCAATCCTCGCCTTCGTGCTGCTGTAGCACTGACTGCTTACAATCCACAAAGCGCTTCTCACCCCTCTAATGCCCCTCTGTACAAGCCTTCTCCCACAGACATCAAGCCAACAAATTTTTCACCTTTGAAGTTGATCTCATACTGCTGAGAACCTGCTTGAAACCAGAAATTACCTTTCTGGTCAGCCTGAAATGCCTTGTCCAGCCGTGTAGAAGTTACAGTAGTAGCATAGTGGTTTGGAGACTAGGAGAAGGAGGTGAATTGTGCATCAGAAAAATAGTTTTGGCCTAAAGGGCATGCAGAACAGCATTTTATTTGCTAACCAGGGATAATCACCTACAACTTGGAGTTTCCCAGTGCACCCCAGCCTTACTCACCTCCCACCAGAAGCTGTGTGCTGGACTCTGCTCCCTCCTCACCACAGCATGCACAGATGATGTCTGGTGGGGTGATGTATCCCTGGTGTCTCATTCATCTCTGTGGTGCTTGCCACCTTCTCCTCAGCCCTTCGGTGCAGGGTTGGAAAACATCACCATGGGCCTTGTTTTGCTATTGTTCCTTGCCAGCATGTGGGATAGCTTTCTGGCACTCTCTTCTGCAGTGAGATTTTAGGATTTCCAAAAGGAAAGAGCACTTTCCTCACAGATAAACACACAGTATAAAAACTGTTTCTCTTACAGCAATTTTTGAAAGGCTCTGCTTTGCCTATGAAAATAAACAGGGTTCAGACCTCGACCTCATGGGGTCCTGAGTGACAGAAGTAAAATTATGAAAAAGGTGCCAAATCCATCAAAATGCATGTGCACTATGGGAAGGCACTGAGGCAAAACACAAGACATGCATGAAAGGCACTGCTTGCAAAGGGCAAAAGAGATGGCAGCCCCTAAGCGGCAGCCAGCACACAGACAGGGAGAGGTGCTTACTACTTCTCTGTATGCCTGCCACTGGTTAGCATCAGCCAGCCAGTAACAGCAGCTTTCCATCCTGACCTTGGGTGAGCACCAGCATGCGACACATGAGAGGAAAGATGTGGAGGTGGAAGGAAAAACAAATCAGTGCCTGGTAGCAGTGGAAATCAGTAATCTCTATTTTCACCTTTTCCATCCTCTATGTCCTCCACCACCTCCCAGTGCAGCTCTTGCAGTGCCTTCCCATTGCCAGTCTGGGTAGGTCACATGTGAGAGGACACCTCGAGTCCTGCCACCCTTCACCTCAAGAGGCCCACAGAGTGGAGCTGTTCTTTATGGTGCTGATGATGAAGGAAGGGAGAGACAGCAAATAGCACAATGTGTGTGGCTGGACAACTGAGTCATCTTGTCATCTGCATGCTCAGGTTTCTCTGGACCATGTCTTGAAAGGAAACGTGAAGGCAGGCAGAAGTGGAACAAGAGCTGCCTAGCACTACTGCAGATCCCACTGATGCCACTTGATGCAAGCACTAGAATTTTGCAGCAGTTCAAAAGAGACCAAACAAACCCACTGGAGAAGAGAAATCCATCGAGGACCATTACATACAAGTATGTTGTCTTGGATTAGAAAGTCCCTGAGCTGCACATCCGTGTCTGTGAGGGATGTATCATGATCTGCTGCCCTCCTCTTCTTCTCCAGAGATCCAGCGCTTGCCACTGCTGGAAACAGGAGCCAGGCTAGCAGGCTTTGGCATGTCTCTGATCAGCCACTCTTACATAGAAGGGCATATGAAAAATTGCCAACACAGGCATGCAATGCCGCCTTCTCTATGTTATTTCCACAGAATGAGGTCATTTTGTCTAGTGCTGCTCCCTCTTGAACTGGCAGCATGAACAGTGCAGACATGTGTCCTCTTGTGCACATGGAAGGCTCCTCTTTTGATCCCTTCACACAAACAGATTCAAGCTATCAAATTCCATTCCTCAGAAATGGATGTGGGCACTTAAAATAGTACCTACACATGATTTAGGTATTCTTTGTTTTTTTCTTTGAATAGCACTTCATCCTTTTTGATCACAATAATCAGTCACCCAAGCAGCATCCTTCTTGGCAAACAGCCTCACAGTTAAGCAGCCACCCTGGCGATACAGAGAAACACAGAATGTCTCTCACACAGATCTCCTCCTACACAGCCTCAGGAAATCCAAGCCTTCTACTTAGTGCTTCCTCTTTCACAGCTTCTCCCTTGCCACATGCACCATGACCTACATCTCAAACTATCGTCCCAATACTTTTCCATTTCTTTGCAGGTGTTGAATACCATGACTTTGTCTAATCTTTCAGTTGTAGGAATCTCCAGTATCTTCAGAAATTAAATCACAAGGTTAAGCAAAAGAATGGAAAATTTTATATGTTTCCCACATTTCATGCTCTGTCAGACACAAACACCATCTTACTTCCCCAATTTACACAAGTAGTTTTCTAGCAAGTGGTTTTAAATATGTACATTCCCTCTGGTGAAGACAGCCACTTCTGCTGGTCATGGGGCTATGTGAGACAAATTCAGGACAGAAGCTACACTAAAGAGTCAGCAGCACAGCACATCACATGTATTAATTATATTATAAACAAGTAAGTGTTCTGCCTCTAAGATCTATCTCTCATTTCTGTGGTCCGCCTCGCTGATCTGCCTGGAACAGCTCCTCCACCTCGGCAGACATCACTGAGGCTGCAGAGTAGGTTGAACGCTACAGAAATTATGGTTGTGACAGTAGAGGTGGCATCAGAAGCTCCCCTCAGAGTATCACTGACACTTCAAGGACTGGCCAGCACTGCAGGACTCCCAAGCATTTCAAGCAGGACTTCTTCACTAGTGGCTGGGACTAGGAGCTGGGTGCAGTGAATTTTACCTGCTTCCCATACTCAACCCACTACAGGGAATCATCGAGGCTGTACCAGTGTTTCCATGACACCAAATGAGTAAGCAGCAGGAACCATCAGAAGTGCAGAATTGTCTCAAAAAAAGATGAAAGGGAGAAAAAAAAAAAGAGAAAGAAAAAAGAAAAGAACAAAGAGGGAAGGGATGCGGAGAAAAAGAAGAAGAAAGAAGAAGGAAGGAAAAAAGAAAAAAAACCTATCAGCTTCTAGCAGGTGGCTTAACAGAAGTCTTGAGAGGGAAACCCAAACTCAACAGGAATTCCTGGACTGTTGTCATCATTTCACAGCCAGAATACTGTCTGGTTTCCAAATCCTCTGGGAAGACAACAAGTCCTAAAAGGTTTCTGGTTTCCTTTTTTGCCTCTGCTTAAACCCAGGCATGCCATTTTCTGCCTTCTGAGTGTGCCAGTCCCTGGTATATGCACTGAGCAGATGCCTAACCCTGGTTGGTTAGCAACAGCGTTAACTGGTGGTTATCAGTGTTTCAGCTGCAGAAGTCAATACTTCTAAGTTTCCCCGGGTTCCCCAACAAAATCTCAGCAGATGTGGGAGTAGATCACCTGGCGACCAACTCCATGTTCCTCATGCTGCCCACAGCAATGATGGCCTTCCCAGATGGTATGCAGTGAAGTTTTTGTACTATTTCTGAGTCTTATTATTATGTTTCAGATCAGGAAACTGCCTACATATGGCATGTTAACAGAAACAAGTAAAACTAGAAGCTGAGTGGGGGGAAAAAATAGAAAACAAATTCAAAACTTGATCTGGGAAGGAAGAGAGAAGCTGGTGAGTGGGACACATCATGGAGCTAATCAGACTAACTCAGATTACACAGAAATAGCAATTACTGGAGGAAGACCTGGTGGGAAAAACCCAGTTTTGATAGTGCTGTCACAAAGCTTAGGTTTGGGTTTTAGCCTACAGTTTCATGCAGTGAAACTAATCACATTTCAGACCACACTAAAGAAATGTAGAGTGCATTATCTTAGTAAGGAATTTGAGCTGTGCAGTGAAAGAAGAAACAGGAGGCATTTTTTGACAACATTATGATAGATGTGAGAACTTTCAGTCAAAAAAGTTACATGAAGGGAGAGATTGTATAATTGCTAATAGGACATTAGATTGTGTGAGGACTGAAGGGGAAAAAGGATTTAGAAAGCACTCTTAGAACCTGCTTGAGCTGAGAGGCAAAATGAAGGTCAGCTGCCCTTTAGCACAGAAGATTAGATTACAGCTTGGGATGGATGCTACAGAGTACAGGTAAAAAAATCATAAACCTAAAGGAACTTACAAAAGGAAAACAATCTGGAAGATGCAAGAAGCTATCCACAAAATGCAGTCAGAAAGACTCTGCAATAAGCAAGAGTGAAAGCATGCACAAAGTGTTACAGAAAGCAGAGACCAACACAACTTCTAACATATCCTTTGGACTTAATAAAGGGAAAGTCATTTGAAAAGAAAAAAATATAATAAAGGAGATCAAAGCTGAAGATACAGCCGCGCCCCCCCCCCCCCCCCCCCAAAAAAAAAAAAAAAGATTCCAAGAACATACAGTGAAATAAAGTTTCTCTTTGGGAAGAGGTAAAGACACAGTTTCCTCCAGTGGTGGGATATCGTGTGTAGACACTTCCCAAGTATTTACAGGTTGAGCACTGGTGCACTGCTTAATTGTTCCTCTGATATTGCAGTAAAGGATCTGGATGGAAAATCTAAGCTTATTAAGAACAGCTTGGTAAGAATCAGGTCAGCTTTTGTATTGCTCCTACCTGTAAGCTAGATGTAAAAGTAACCTTGGAAAGACAGTTTGAGTTGCTCAGGGAAATAATGCCTAGAACTCAACACACCAGACAATAGGGCTCATCAAAAGAAAGACTGCAAAATAATGGGTAAAAACAGAAAAAGTTTTTCCCTGAACCATAAAAGTCTGATTCTTAAAAAATCTGTCTCTTGCAGCCATGAACTGAGGACTACTGCCCTCCCCCAAACCCTCAGTCCCCCATCATTACCAGAGCTACAGAGTGATCCAGGATCATTATTCCTTCAATCCAGAAATAGCCTTGTTAAATAATGCAACCATTGAGCATGTCATGCCAAAACCAATATCTGTGTTTTCTTCACCTGTCACCTATACAGTGGTCATGCCAGGTTATGGGCTTAGGTTGATTTTTAGGAGTTTAAATGTTTTGGAAATTAACAAGCACATTCAGTCAAGCGTTAGGTTTCTGAAGTTTAATCACTCTGTCATAAATTCTGTCAAAACTGTTTAAAAGGATTCTTAAAAATGCTGAAAAGTCAATTTTTCACCAGTAAATTAAATGAAGGCCTGAAAACTTGCTGAGATGTTATTTAATAGAAAGCCTAGAGCAAGTGCTTGAGTATGCAACCCAACGGTGTAAAAGCTAGGGACACTGAAGCCCTGACAGCACCGTAGAAAAATCAATTAGAAATACACTATGATGAAAAGATCACTCAAGCTAACATCTTGGCAGGCAGAGACAAATACAGTACATCTAAGTATGTAGAAGAAATACATTATTTATATGGGTACAAAACGCAATTGATCCTTCTGAATTGTTGCTGTTTTCTGCAAAGTGACTGGTAAAGAAATCACTGGAGAAACTGCTGATGCCTGCAGCAGCCTCTCCAGGAGATCATGAAGCTGCTGCTCCAGGATAAGCCTATCCCAACACCTGCCCATTCAGCACTAGGCTGGCAGGGAAAGCAGCAAATTCCACAGGAATCTGTTTGGCTACTCCCAGTGTTCCTCAGGTCAAACCTTTTCCACCAGCATCTCAGTGACTCTGAAACTGCCAGTGCCATGCATTTGAGTCAGAAGACGTTTAGCCTTTTCTCAACAGGGCAGGGAGATCTTAAAACACTTTTCCTTTTTTAAGGGAAAAAATTAATGAAAAGACCACAGACCAGATCCACACTTAGTGCCTGCCAACAACTGCACATGTAGCTGATGGTTTGCAAGCATTTTTCATCTAAAAGGGTGCTGAGGAATGTTTTCTGCTCAGTACTTCAGAGGCACCCAGGTACTCCACAGGTAGCACAAGGTTCAGGTCTGGAAGAAATTTTAGCAAGTTTGTAACACTGAACAAAACTGCCATGAAGAAGTATTCGCAGATTAAGTTGCTTTTCATTCTTACTAGTGGTTTCTGATCTTGATGCCTCACTGACCAATATAATCCTAAATCTTTCACCATTCAAAGTTCTTCTCGAGGTGCGAGTGCTGTTTTCGGGAATGACACAGTGGAAAATTGGGAGCCTGAGAGAGTGTGGGCTCCTCAAGAAGCACTTCTACTTCAGATCTGGTACTCCAACACCTACAAAGCCCATCGTAGTTACACCTCAGCAATCCCACACCACAGTGCACTGTTACAGCTGCTCATACCCCAAAGCCCACCTTGCTGGAAACAGCTCTCTCACACACAGTACATGGTTTCTTCTACCATGGCAGAGAAGAATGAGGGAAGATGGTTTGTACAAGGTCATAATTCCACAGAACATTATTTTCTCTAATACTAGAACCATTCCCAAACATCTCCCAGCCCTTGTCCTGCCCAACGGCTGGGCATGCAACCTACCAACAAGCTGATGGAGCAAATCCATGCAACACAGGGTGACAGTTGGAAATGATCATTATTCAGTCCCTCCCCATCCTCATGAGCCTGCAAGCTGGAAGGCAGCAAGGGGAAGGTGATTGTGAGTTGTCCTGGGTTCAGCAGTAGCAGTCATTTTTTCTCCTTCTTAGTAGCTGGTGCAGTGCTGTTTTCAACTTTAGTTTGGGAATAGCGCTGATAACACCGATGTTTTTAGTTATTGCTCAGTAATGCTTACCCCAGTCAAGGACTTTCTGAGTCTCATGCTCTGCCAGGGAGGAGGGGAAGCCAGGAGGAAGCAGAGACAGGACACCTGACCCAAACTAACCAAAGACGTATTCCACACCACAGCACGTCATGCCCACTATATAAACTGGGGGGAGTTACTCAGAAGGGTGAGACCACTGCTCAGGTCGGGCTGGGTATCAGTCGTTGAGTGGTGAGTAGTTGTATTCTCTTCCGTTGTTATTTCCCTTATCATTATTATTACTGGTGGTAGCAGCAGTGGTTTTGTGTTATACCTTAGTTACTGGACTGTTCTCATCTCAACCCGTGGGAGTTACATTCCTTCGATTCTCCTCCCAGTCCCTTCAGGAGCAAGGGGAGCAAAAAGGGGGGAGTGAGTGAGCAGCTGCATAGTTCCGAGTTACCAGCTGGGCTTAAACCATGACATGGGTGAAGGCGATTTTGGGTGAAAGCTCGCCTGTGGTTGACAAAATTAGATCACTACCTTGCAAAAGAGCAACCTCTAGGTTTCTGCAAAAGAGGTGGGACGCAGAAGTGCATTAACCAGAGGAGCTCAAGGACTCATTGCTGCCTTTCTGATATCTTCTAAGGGCACTGATTGTGCCCAAAGTCAGCAGGCTTTATGAAAGCTGATGAGATCCTACACACATCCCTAATCTTGGTTCTTCCCACTCATGGCATGAACCATTTCTGACTCCTTTGCTGAATTACAACAGCTTGTACAGCAAGACTGTTTCAAAATAAAGCATTAATTTTTGTTTCCATGCTATTGGTTATCCCAAATGTTATCCTACCACCCACCAAGTTTCAAGTACTATGTCCATCAACCAAGCTGTCCCTTGTCCCTCAAAATGGGAGCACATAAGGCTGGGGCACTTCTCAAATACCCAGAGAAGTGCCAGGCAGCAGCAGGGCAATTCAAAATAGCCACAGACAGCTTCAGTCTGCAGAGTGGGGAAGGGGGTGGGTGCATCAGTGACCACCCCACACAAACCTTCTTTGCCCCACTGGTCACTGCTGCAAGCACTGGCTCCATGGCCCATGTGGGACACTGCCATGTGCCATGCCAGTTGCATTCAGCAACTTCCTCATTGTTAGTATGATGGTGGGGTGGGGATCTAACTTCATCACCTGCAATGTCCCTGCTTCTCTTAACATCAACACAGTGGGGACGGAGCAAGGAGAGGGTACCATGGAGATGGGAAAACTTGACACAGAATAACATGAGAAGAGCTATCAGCAATGTGTTCAGGGAGCAATGTTCCTTGCCAGTATTCATTAAAAATCCTCCAGGATGCAGGAGCTTCCTGCCATTTACTGGAAAAACAGGTCATGATTCCTCTCTTGTGCACCATGATGCAGTTACTTTCACTTTTCCTCCTTTCACATTCCCCACCCAGTCTCCCTTTGTCACACACCAGCACCATCACAGGTAGGATTCATGCCTAAGTGACTGTATCAGTGGGTCAAGCTAATCATACATTCAACAGTGTGGCTTTCAACAGTGGTAGGTGTCACTGCATCAGGGTATGCAAGGCAGGTACATCCCCATCTCAGGCTAGAAATAAGGTGGCGATTAGAATCATAGAATAGTTAGGGTTGGAAAGGACCTTAAGATCATCTAGTTCTAACCCCCCTGCCATGGGCAGGGACACCTCACACTAAACCATGTCACCCAAGGCTCTGTCCAACCTGGCCTTGAACACCGCCAGGGATGGAGCATTTGCAACCTCCTTGGGCAACCTATTCCAGTGCCTCACCTCCCTTACAGGAAAGAACTTCTTCCTTATATCCAATCTAAACTTCCCCTGTTTAAGTTTTAACCCGTTACCCCTTGTCCTGTCACTACTATCCCTAATGAAGAGTCCCTCCCCAGCATCCTTATAGGCCCCCTTCAGATACTGGAAGGCTGCTATGAGGTCTCCATGCAGCCTTCTCTTCTCCAGGCTGAACAGCCCCAACTTTCTCAGCCTATCTTCATACAGGAGGTGCTCCAGTTCCCTTGAAAGTTCAGCACTTTCTGCTTCCAAAAAAAATACGCCCCGAAATCCTTCAAGGGACTGATATTGGTTTGCTGCATTACAATATGTTCTAAAGCTACTACTAAAATTGAATAGCATTAAAAAAAAATTAAAACAAAAAAAAAGATGTATTAAAGTGTAATTTCTTCAGTGTAAATTCAAAGGAGAATCCAGCATTCATTACAGGATCCTACAGTGGGTATTGCTCCTGTACTCCAAGATATAGGCAGGGTAAATCTGGTGCTTCTCAAAGATGACAAAGATAGAAGGGTCTGTTGGGTCATCCACGCAGCTGTCATAAAGTCTGTTTGAATTGCTGTCTCTGAGTGGAGGGCGAAGGTGTTCGGGTTTTCCCTGAACAAAATCTCCCACAAGAACATTAGCTACAAACATGCTGTAGCAACCACTTTGAGAGGAACAGAACTTGTGAGAATAGCTGGCATCTCTGGCAAAGTAGCTTCCTAAGGACCAGAAAAAGACACAGGAAAGACAGTATGTGAACCGAGGAACAAACATCTGCTATCCGCACTTCGGCAGCCAGCAATTCAACAACCCCAGGAGCTCTATACACATCATTGCCAGGTGGTCCCACATCAGCTTATTTTAAAGCATTGACTATCTCCAGACACATTTTGCTACCAACATCCCAGTTCCACCTGTGCAAGAGCTTTGCTGAAGAGCAGGTACCTGAGGCAAAAATGGCTGGTTTTAGCACCTCCCAAACCGGGATTGATGTGGATGCTGCCTGCAGCAATGCAGATGCATGCAGGTGAGACTGCCCTAATAGCAGAAGAGCAGGAGTCAGGGACACTCAGTCACCTCACACCCACTGACCTGGCTGGGGTCTGCAGCCTGTGCTGCTACAGCCCCTGAACCTAACACTTCCACACTCGTACCTTTCCCATACATTGTCCCGTGAGTCCCACACACCCTCCAGTCGAAGTTCTGCTCACAGATGGCAGGCATGTGGGACAGACTTGTCCCATGGAACAGGAGCCGCTCATCCACACACTCCAATTTACTGAGCTTCTTCATCTGCTCCTTTTGCCTAGGGACAAAAAAAGAATGATGTGTTACCCTGGTTCAAATGAGGACAATTTCCCAACAAAACTCCTCCCACTTTGGGATCACGGAGGAACAGTGACATAAAGCACTCTCAGTGGGGTTACTGCCTGCTTTGCACTCTATTGGTATCCTGCTGCATAGCTGGCTCCTTCTAGCAAAACAAAATGTTCTCAGCATCGTTATGGACTGTGTCACCCACAGTTTCATACCACATGAGAGCGTAAAGAGACAGACATCTCCTGACTGAACTGGTCAGATCCCAGGTTATATAAATCCTGAATGCATAAATATGATTATAAAACTGTGCTGTATGATGCCACAGTGAAGATTGTATAATATTTACCACTATCTTTATCACATAAAAAGTCCTTCAAAAAAAAAACAAAACCCAAACCGAACCAAACTCCTATGTGAAAGAGGCTAACAGAAAAAGAATAAATCTGAATTTTCACAGCTCAGAAATGGTGAAGGAAAATAACTTTGTTTTTTAATAACACTACTAAGGAGACACCCCTCCACATCCCCCCCCCCCCCATGCTAGGTTACATGATAAAAGGCTCATTTCTACACACACAAAAGAACAGAAACAACCCCAAAAAAACTGATCAATAAAAAGAGGAGCACCAGTAACTCCCAGGGCTGCCCCAGGGACCACGGAGACACTCAGCACTGTGAGCTGTGGAAAGGGTGCAAAGCAGCTCACGGACATGAGGAGAGTACTGCCTATGAGAGTGTGAGGCTTGTTATGGGACAGAGGGAAAGAGTATTTGAGGATTGCACCGGACTTATAATGGCATGTTTAACAGAGAAACTGTAGGTGGGAGAAGGGAGGGACCAAGATGGGCTGAGGAGGAACAAACACGGGAAAATAGGTGGATAAGGGGGTACAAAGAGCTGGTTGTGTAAAAACAGGCAATTGTGTAGTCAGTAGGCTTGTTTGGCTATGCCCTGTGCCTGATCCATGCAGTCTACCCTATCTTCTCATTAAACTCCATTTCTAACTCTTACCTGGGTGATGGACTCTTCAGTCTGTGCACATGTGCATGCATGGGGGTCTGGGTGCAGCAACTGGAGTAGGGCCTTGGGTCACAAGACCATATGCCTACAGTGCCAGCACCTGCAGCAAGCGAAGGTGTGAGTGTCAGTGTGTGATCACTAGCCAACATAAGGCTGGACAGACAGAGAGGAGGGTCACTGGCCTGGAAGCCAGCTTTTGGAGCAGTCATAAGGTGCTGGAGAGACCAGAAGGTCTGAGCTTGCTTACCAAAGGGACCAGGGGGTCCAGACCAACCACTGTAGACACCATAAGTCCACAGAGTTCCATTTGCATACGGGTGCGTGTCTATGCAGAACATAACTGAAGACAAGAGGACCCAGGGGCCAGCACATGAGTAGGGTGAGTGTCTAAGACCAGTTCCTAGGATGGGATGGATGTCAGGGATGCATGCATGTATGTATGTTCCAGTAACAGGCTTTCATCCCAATTGGCCAGAGGAAGGGGACAGGATGAGACCATTGGTGCTATTTATGATTGAATAAGTGCCATGCTGTCTGTGTTAGGTTTTGTGGCCAGCTGTGTGCATGTTCATGTTTTGTGTGTATGTGTGTTTGCACCTACTGGGAACGTGCTAAGTCTCACTTCTAGCTGGACCTGGCAGACAGATACGTGGCAGTCTCACCTCTGCTGGGCTGCTGGATTTGGCAACGCCTAACGCAGATTATGGAGGACAACAGATCAGGAAATACCAGTCTTCTGCTACCATAAGGATAATGAAATAGAATAGATACAAACCACTGAAAAACTTGCCAAAGCGTTGGGTTCTGGATCCTCTGCAGTCTGTGGATAAAGGAATCCTTCATTGTCTTCTCAAACAGGTTCTTAATTTTACTGTATTCAAGGGAAGTGCAGCTGACATCTATCAGCTAAAAATTTTAAAAACACCAAAAATAAGGAATTATTGACAGTAACAACTAGTCCTTCCAAAGGACTCATGAACCTCCTCAAGTGAGACAAAAAGCCCTATCATTAAAATCCCAGGCTGCTTCTGTCTTTCCAGTTAACCTTCCTCTCCCCACGTGGAAGCACAGGCACTAACTGAGGGAAATGAATGCAATCCCACATGAGCTTCCTGTGGTGGACATACCTCTATGTCTACATTATTTTTACTTCAGAGTAACCTAAAGGTGAAGTGCACAGCAATGTTCAGGCTGGAAAAGAGTATCAGTTTCACCTTGACACCCTAGCTCCTTCCCTATAGGGCTAAGCCATAGTTTTTACTACATCAAATAACATTTTGCTTCAAATCAATGGAGGAAATACTTCAATACCCCCTTAAGATGCAGTTTATCAGAGGATCAGGTGCCTTCAGAGAGTGCAAAGGACAAGATCAGTAATGGCCAAAAGGGCCTTTCTTATCCTGTGTGGTATGTGTTGGGCGTCTCAGAGAGCCTCCCAGGAGACATGGCTCTATTCTGAATGTGAAACTGTCAGCCTTGTTTCACCTCATAGTTACTTGTTTCATAAGATCTGTTTAATAGTTGGGAACATCTCAATCGCCTTGGGTCATGTTCTCAGAAAAATGAGTACAGGATCTAGTTTTCCCAACAAATTGAAGAGCTGGAAAGACCTACCTTGAACCCAATATCGGGCAGTGCAGATTGGTCCCATTCTGGAGGACAAACAAAATGGGATAGAGTCATGTTTGAGCTGCAGAAAAGAAAAAGGAGCAAGTCAGTCCACTATACTCCTAACCAAATCCCCCTTCCAAAGGATGCAGCTGCTGGCTGTATATCAGCCCTAGCATATCCCCAGACTTTTCATTTTTGTTTTACTTTCCACATAACCATCATGCCTTTCTCAAGTCCAGTTTTCCACACACATCCTACTGGCACTAATGCATCTCTTGGCAGGTAGGAGAGCTTCAAATGAGAAGTAGCATGCCTCTAGCCAGGTGGTTTATACAACTGCTCCAGCTAGACCTGACATGTGCTGCTTGAACCTCTGCCGGGAAACGGAAGCACACGCCCTCTCCCTCCATGCAGCCACTCAGCTCTCAGTCACTGGCCAGACCTGTCCCCAGGACCAAGCATGTCAGGAGACTGCTGTGGATAGTTGTGCCCTGCAGGGACTATTGCACCAGTTATTGCTTAACAACTTCCAGCACTAACGCCCTCCTGCGCACATGCATGTTTTAACCCAGGCAATAGAAGCATTAGAATTCATTCAGGAGCTGCAGTTTGTTTTCTTTTTGAATCAACCACCCTTGGCTGAAGTAACCTTTAAATTGAACCCCTAGCTTCATGTTCACTGCCTGCTGGTGAGTTTCTAATGCAAAGATGGCTCTTTTTAGAATAAAGCAGTAGCACAATTAAGTTCTACACCAGACATGCTCAAATCCTGTCAACTTTCTTTAAAAACAGCCATAAGATAAGGTATCCCAAATAAGTGCATCCAGTTCACTTCATTAGAAGGATTTACTTCTGCATTTTTATTTTACCCTCAGCTTTGCAGGGGATAGATAGCATCTGTCTGCTCCATAGTTCTCAGGACTGGCAGTCCCTTGTTCCTACACTGTGCACAGTTTATTCAGTATTGTCAGAGCATAAATCAAGGAATAAAAATTCCTAGCACAGTTGTGTCAGCCCTATGTGTCCTGGCCTTGCACTCACAGAGAGAATAAACCTACTCAAGGGGTCTCTTACAGCTGCCAGAGACTGCCACCAAACATCCCTCCAGCAAGCTTCATGGAAGGGTTTCATAATTTACAAGTACTGTTACTGCAGAATTCGCCATTGAAAAGGGTCTGCAAAAGGTATTTACAAATTAAGAAGTCTAAAATTGAATTTTATGCAGGTAGGAGGAGCTTCTCAACAGGAAGGTGCTGTCACCTAGAAGCATTATTTAATAATAACGAATGTATATTACCTTCCGTCTTGTCCATCTTGAGAAGGCAGAAATCTTGGCCGTCGGGCAACTTTCCTTTTAGTTTTATAGTGCAAGTTTATTTGGACCATGCCTTGAAAAAAAACCACAATGACTCAATAATTAGATACCTTTGTCCAGGGACACATACTCTGAAGTGTTTAGAGAAAAGGAGGTAGCCCTGAATATCACATCACAGTGCTCTGTACCACAGACACCCCACTCCACGCTTTGAAACCATTCCCATTTGTGCTGCTTCTGCTTGGAGCCCAGCAAGGTCAGCACCTGCTAACACAGGTCATGAAGCTCAAAAGCACCCAACCACCAGCTGCACCTGCACAGCCATTCACATCCAGGCTGTTGGACAGAGAAAACTACATCTGATGTCAGGCCTACAGCAACAAAGAGCTTTCAGTAGGGTGGAAGCCATAAATCTAGCTGTCCTGGCAGTGTGGGATTGTTACTGGTGCTAAGAGGAAAGTCTGTCCTCTCTTCTTGGTCCTGTAACAATACCACAGGGCGCATGCTGTGTGACATGGCTAATTATCCATTGTTTCCTCCTTTAAACACCACTCCACTCATGCCAGAAAACAGATTTAAAGCTTGGAAAGCTAACAGGGATTTTAAGATGGGTGAATAAATGAGAAACAGAAAAGCATTTTTTATTTTCCTTTTTCACTCTCTGTGCAACCAGCCCTAAATTTTCCTTTGCTGCACTGCGTGCTCTCTCTGACTAGCTTGCAAGACATCTACCATAGGCTGACTTCTTTACCATTTGACTTTTCGGTGCATTATTTTTTTTTTGCCTTTTCTCATTTCTCCTCTTTAGTTGTATAAACCCAGATGCATAAGTCAGACGTCACAAAGTGTTTACTCTCAGCTCTTCTTCTGAAAACATGATATTGTCAGACATGCTTTTCTGACTACAGATGCACAAGTTTAGAAGCTTGAGCATTTCAAAATTGCAGAGATGTACATACTGCTCAAGTTCTGCTTGGAGAAAACTTACAGGAGGAAAACGACCTGTTCAAAGAAACCCAGACATGCAGATGAATCCTCTGCATGAAGAAGGCTACCTTAGAGCCAGTTACACTGTGTAATGAACTTAAAACAAGGAGATACTTTACCATTAAAGTTTAATATATATGCTTGAGAACCAGCCTTGAATAACACAAAGCCTTCCTGGTCATCTTGGAATTCCCTCTCTAGAACTTCAGATGTTACCGTGGCACAGCAGTGATCTGGATGCTATAGAAAAAACAAAGAAATTATACCTGTTAGAAACCAGCCTTTCATTTAGGTGACACAAATAACAGTGTTTCCCCAGCCTTTGTCACAGAATGCCATTTTGAACTAAGCCTCTAAGGCTTCACGAATCTTGTTCTTCAGTGACAGATGGGTACCCCACAGAGATCTGCTGCTTGTAACACCACCAACAAAGCAGCCTTCAGCCTGTATGGTCATCTTCAGCTAAAAGATGTCTGTCATCTCTCAAAACACACCCACTTTCAAAGCCAGTCCTTTGAAAGCTTTCACAGAGTAGCAGTACTGCTTTGTGGGACAATTAATAAGGCAAATCCACCAGTGCACAGAGCAGCAATACAAGGGCACCCAGCGGCATGTGTGGAACACCAGCGGCAGAGCAATGTGCCCCAAATAACTCTCTAAGGATGGCTTAACAAGAGATTTTTGTCATTAACAGGAGATGGATCTCACCTTTTTCCCATATTCAATCCACTTCCCAGAATTATCGAGCCAGTACCAGGCATACTCCATTTTGGGAGCAGATGGATGAGCCAGAAGACCCCACAGGCTCAGAACAGCTGATCGATGCCTGGCTGCTTGCTTGGCCCTAGCATCAGAAGAGAAACCCAGATTAAAATACGGGTCTTTTCCAAAGCTGTCGAACTATTTGTTATCCCTGATCTGATCGAAGTCTAGTCACTTCTCAGGAGACCCTTCCAGCTAGGAAGCGCAGATTTGGCCCAGAACCAAGGACGTGAAGTTTGTACATTTATGGGGCATGGTAAGCAGCACAGAAATTACCCTGACTTCTGTGGCTTGGACCTGAGTCACTGTTTTTCTCTAAAATACATCTTTCTAAAATACACATTGGAAGAAAATACAACTTGACACAATAAACTCAGCTCATTACATGAAGGCCAATGGTGCCACCTGGCTAACGGGTAAGATTTAGCTTCTAGGCAGTGTGTGATCAGCTGCAGAAGTCAGAGTGCCTTCAGAAGGCACTGATAACATCAGGGAAGCAAAGCAGCCACTCATAGGTACAGTGTGCCCAAGTGCTGGCAGTGTGGGCTGCAGGAGTGGTCTCAGTGAGAAGAGACCAAGAGGTGCTGGACAGCCAGCTAAACAGACACGCTGCAGGACACAGCTGAGACCATTAGCAGGGGAGCATTCTCAAAGGCACCACCAGTTGTCTTCTGCCCTGGAGACACAGCACCTACAAAGAAAAGAAGCTGAGACAGGTAGCCACCAATAATTCAAATTCAGAGGGTTTTACTTTGCTTTCTGATGGGCTCCAGTCTCCTTTGAATGTCCAAGTTTGGACCTAGACAACATTTTTCTAGGCATCTCATCATTTCTCTGCTCCTACAACATTCCTCTATTGAGGAACATATACACACAAATGAGAGCTCCCACCTGCATGCCATGGAGTTTGCAAATGTCTGTGGCTGAGCCACTTAGAGCTGCCTGAAGAATTTGAGCACAGTATTCAAACTGAAACTAAATGATCATTTATCCTGCTCTAGTACACCCTTCATTCTTTGGCAGGGGTCACAGGTATTCAGTGCAAGCCAGTCAGATGAATCATTACAGGAGGCGCTTTACAGAGCTGATTGCAGTACTAAGGTCCACAAAGGCTTGGCAGCCCTGGACTGCCCGAACAAATTGCAAGGAAGCCTTTGCTTGCTCCAGCACTGTCTTCAGACCATGGCTGCTCTTTGTACGCAGTAACACCCGCCAGGCCTGTTCCTAAAAAAATGCTCCCAATGCATTTTCTCTCAAATCCCATTGCAGGAGGCTCAGGAGATCCAGCACTCCTCAGAGACTTTTTTGGATGTGGCTGTCCTTTTATTCCCCTCTGCATAGCAGTGTGCTGCTGCTGCCACAGCACAAGAATTTGAAGTTTGTGGATTTGAAGGGTGAGATTTGACAGGAGTGGAGGTGAAATGGAAAGGAGAGCACAGGAGTGGGGTGGGCTAAGGTTTCCAGGCAGCTTTTCTGCACTGCTTCCCCCACCCCGTTCCCTCTCTCCCTATTCCATAGACTCCTGCCAGCTCCCCTGCCAAGACGCAGGGCTCCCAGTTTGCCCTGACATCAGCTTTCAGAAATGTCTTTCTGTGCCCTACTTTCACTTTCACTTGTTCGATTTCTGTTCCTTGCAGGGATTTTCCACTCACCAACTAACCCCAACTAGAAAGAAACAGAATTAAAACACTTCATAAAGCAGATAGATAGAAATATTTCTCCAGCAAGGCAGGGAGTGGTCCTTCACCTTCTGCAGAATCACATAATCATAGAATCAGCCAGGTTGGAAAAGACCTCTAAGATCATTAAGTCCAATCATTACCCCAGGACTGCCAAGCCCACCACTAAACCATGTCACTGAGGGCCTCATCTACACAGATTTTGAACACTTCCAGGGACAGTGATTCCACCACTGCCCTGGGCAGCCTGTTCTAATGCCTGAACACCCTCTCTGTGAATTAATTTTTCCTAATATCCCATCTAAACTCCCCTGGTGCAGCTTGAGGCTATTGCCTCTTGTCCTATCACTTGTTACTTGAGAGAATGGACCAATATATAAAAAGCAACTTCATGCCACATTTTCTCATGTATGTTTCTCCCTTATGTAGAAGAAAGGACGAATTAATGAAGATACAAACACAGCCTACGGTATGACTGACTGCAAGCAGGAATCCTTCTAGAAGACATTAAAGCCAAGCCCACAAATAATGGAATCCACAACTTTTTTCTTCCCCCTTCCCTCCCAGTACAGCGGTACCCCAGGAAAGCCCGACACACGCTGCCTCCCCAGCTCCCCTACTCACAGTCCCACTTGCCAAGCTGCTCAGTCACCACCCTGGGAGCCAAAGGCATCAGCCATGAGCTCACCAGTCAGAAGAGCCTCTGAACCTTTGCACCACACGTGAAAAGTCCCCCTGGTGCAATCTGACCTTCAGAAATAAAATACAACTGGTCTGCAAGAGCTTCCCGTGAACTCCCAACTGCATGTGTCTGTACCTCGCTGTCTCTCTCGGCGTCTCTCTCTGCAGGACGTCACAGATGCCTCTGCACTAGCCACTGACCTTCAGGAAAGGGAGCTGAGTAATGCTTCCGGTTATTGCGCCGCATGCATGCACACCTGCCAGGCATGAGCAGACTGCCCAGGCACAGCTGATGTTTTTGACAGGTGCATTAGTAAAATCAACATCCCTACAAACCAGCCTAGCTTATCCCTATGAAATGACATAGTTTACCCCTGTTTGGCTCCTGACGTCACACACCAGGACCTACCTTGAGCCAATTCCTTCCAGTGGCTGAGGATATTCAGGACCATCTCCTTTCAAGATTCCTGCTGGGAGCAGCTTCTGCTGAAGATCATTCTTTGACAGCCAAAAGCTGGAGTTACCTTTCAATGCGAACCCCAAATTTCAATGCAGAAAGTGGGTGCATCTCTTAACATACTCTCCCTGTTGGTTATCTCACTGTCTGGGGGCGCTGAAATATGCAGCACTGCATGGAGCAACCCAAACCAGTGCAGAGCAAGCAGAGAGCCCAGCAGGGCAGGCTGTCAGCCCCCACAGAGCTCTGTACCATCCCTAGTATTTGTATTTCTTTACCTTGAAGGCTGAGCCTTTGCCCTGTTCTTCCTGCACGGAAATCAGAGAAATGTTAGGAGCTTATCAGTTTGACCTCCAGCCTTTCAGTCTAAAAAGTTGACCGTTACCCAGGAAAGCTGTGAAGCATAAAGCTTAACAACAGGTCAAGGAGTACTAACTACGTAAACTTGCTCAGATGCAACCTTTATTTATTCTCCCTTGGTTACACAACCTATATTCAGCTGAATTGCCCAGAACATTTTTATTTCCTGATGATCAGTCAGTGATCAGGTCAGACCAGATCAGTGGTGGCTGAAACACATATATATCTATTTTAGTTTCTGGAAAGGTTGCACTCTGAGTGCATTTTATAGACACAATATTAAAACCCACCCCCCAGCCCCCCCCCAAAAAAAAAACCAAACAAACAAAAAAAGCCACAAATGCGATTAAGAAGTTGAACTTTGTTTCTTCCCCATCTGGCCTTTCTTGACTGGCTTTTGACCTCCCATATAGTTTCTGGCTCTCAGCTACAAAATTGCACAACCTTTTATGCTTCCCTTTGACTGATGAGATTTATAGGATCAGGTCCCACAGGTTCACTTTCGCATATGTGAATTCTGTAGTAAAATAGTCTCCTGAACTGAAGCCAAGAGCTTCAGCAGGCATGAGATACCAGCTCTAGGAAAAACATTCTGGCTTGGTAGAAAATGTTTACATGGCTTTTCTGGCAGCAGCACACAATCCTCTCTAAACACACACAACTTGCCGCAAACTGGATACGAGCTCACTGTGAACTGATATTTCCTGAGCACCGTGCATTTTAGTTTTGTCACTTTCAACTGCAATGTCACCTGCAGAGCTGCTGAACCTCTGATTTCTAACTGTGGTACTACATCTGTCTGCATTTCCAGTACCTGACAGATCTTAGAGCAGACATCCTACACATAGCCCTGCAAGATTATATTCCTGCATAGTCAGCAGAGGCACCCTAGTGTTGTTTCTTTGCATACATCAGATGATTTATCATGTATAAAATAACCATTGTCCGATGGGCAGGATTACTTATTTCTGCTCTCAGGAATTTCAATTCTTATTTCCTTTTCCTCTTTGGAGGAAATGGACAAGAAAAGGGATGCTTCCCTGCTTCACCCTTTCCATGTGTTTATCTGCAGACACACAGAAGCTCTGTTGCAATTTCTGACTGCTCCAAGGTTTGATGCGTATGAGTACTGATGCTACAGTGTGGGCACACTGTGCTCTCAGGGGTCCTGCAGAACAGGACCAGGCTAATAGCACCTCATGCTTCTATCTCAAGATGTGGAATATCCCCCCAGCCAGTACCTAAGGGGGTGGACTCAGTCTATGTTTGGGTGATGGGGCTCACCTGGTCATTTGCAGGTTGGTCTTTTGCAGGTTGGTTCCCCAGCCACCCACAGCAGAGCCTGGTCATTGTGATGCTGTAGGTAGGTGTGCCAGGGGCTCCAGCTTCAGCAAAGTCCAGTGCAAGGGGGGAGCAACCCATGTCTGGGAGCCTGAAAACATTTCCATCTCTCATTTGAAACCACATTATCATTTAAAGCTGGTACCTTTGAGTAGGTTGTGATGGTTTTCCCAGTAAGACTGGATTTCCTGTTGGACAACATCCAGCAGCTTCTAAATTCAACTGCAGGAGGGGAGGGGAGAAATGAGCAACAAGCCCTGCAACCACAGTGCTGCTATCCCAGCTTAACTCAGCAAAGGAACAGGAAGCAGTCATAACAAGAAAAATTATTCTCAATTGCTTTGAAAAAAACCCAGACAAAACCAGAACAAAAATCCAAACCAAACCAAACCAAAAAAAAAAAAAAAAACCCACCCTCAACTTATTTAGTTCCAAATCTTGATGGTGAATTTTACAAGTTTCAGTAGATTACATTGGGTTTGTACTTTGGTTTTACTCTAAGTACATAAATGCTTGATACAAAAGATTAAAAAAGCTCCATATTCTGCTATTCGTCTCTCCAGTCACCATTAGAAGAGTCTTAGCATACTGGTACCCATTTTTTAGGAAAAGACTAACAGTTAACTGATTGGGAATAGCCTGTTGCTGTTTTATCTGGATATAACATTGACATGTTAATAATGGAAACCTTTCTTATGTCAATAGTTCAAATAAGCATTTAGGTACTGATTCAGCAAGCCATTTGACTGCATATTTGAAGTTAAAGCTCTGACATGAAGTCTTTCATGTCTTCTTACAGCACCAAAAGATGCACGTATTCAGGAATCTGCCCAAGTCTCACCTAACTAAAGTCTTGTCTAAGTAAAGGAGAAAATGAAAGTCACTGGAGTTGGGCCAAAATCTGAATTTTCAACTTCACTGGTGAGGAGCAGGCCTAGGGAGGTGGAGGAAAGGTCAGGATCTACTTTATTATATTCTTGTTAATATTTAACTTTTTTTTTTTAAATGTGTTTATGCATTTTGAAAGGTCATTTCAGAAAAATAAAATTGAAAATTTAAATTTCAAAACAAAATAAGCTTATTCTGCTTATGCAATAAAACAAAGCAAAACATGCTCACCTTACTTTGTTAATACTTAAATTTCAAAGGGTTTACTTTCTGGTGAACTAAGTTTAATTCCCCTGCCTCTTACTTTCCAATTCATCTACATTAAATCTAATTTATTCTCCCCACACATTTCCTTTCTTAATACTTGTCCACCTCATGGCTACTATAGCATTTCGGTTTGAAACCTGCATTTGTCTTCCATGTATTGAACTCTAAGGTCTGCAACATGCTCCCTCCCTCTATTTGCCAAGTTAGAAAACTAAAAGATAGTGTGAGTACACACACACATACACTATTTTACTGAGGACTGGGCTAGGCTGCAAAATAGGATCTTGGTTTTGAAGACACTCTGAGGGCAAAGCAAACTCATTTCACAGAAGTAGATTGTTCTGCTGAAAAAGGGGGGGGGGAGCAGAAAGAGATGCGATGCACTCATCCCAGTTCCTAAGCAAACTTAGGAAGACTTGCAGCAAGGTTTTGGCTCAGGCTCATCCTCATTTGCAGCAATTAAAAGAACAGTACCATGGCCTGCTTTTGGTAGGATCAAAGGTATCAGAAACGAAGTAAGTAGATTTTACATTCTCATGTGAGTTCTGATGGTTTTCTCAGTAAGTCTTGATTTCTTGTTGGACTACTTCCAGCAGTAACTGTAGTTTATGTGTAAGATAATCTGAAAGAGGGGAGAAAGAAAAATGTTTAGTCCAGAGGAAATCTTGAGATATGGCTAAAAATCAGAGCATCAGCTGTTGGCCGGAGCTACTTAAGTTAGTAGATCACTGTATCCATTTCCTTTCTTGCTGTATGTTTTCTTCAGTTCAGTGGTTACAGATACACCTCAGCCCAACATCAGATCAAAAGAAAAAAGATTCATAAATGAAATTATAAATTAAACTCAAAACTGGACTCCTGTTTCTAAAAAGGTTATGCCACCAGAGCTACACCCAAAGGAAATCTGTGCTAGACATTGCAAATAGTGGAGATGTCTCCCATTCATACACCCACATCTGTGCCACAAACCATCCTGGCTTCTTCACCAAACAGACAACCCTCAGGCAGCACTGCCTTCTCCTACTAGTCCTCTCCCCAACCTTTCAGCAAGTATGTTTGGGCACAGGTTTACAGTCTCTGCCTGTCAGTCTCTCCATCCTAACTTCTGATCTTATTCCTCAGTGTGAGGCAAATTTGACTAAGAGGTGGTGATCCTGAAGATATGATAAGTTTAACAGAACCCAAGGGTTGGGGTGTGAAAACAACCCTCCCTGTTGCCTGTTGATAAACGTCAGCCCTGTCTTTCTTAAAAGAAAACATCAAGCTCACTTGTCAGTATATTCACCAGCCAGGCAGACAAAGTCCATGCCTGGGTGCCAGCCACCACAGATAGGCAGCACAGGTAGGCAGCACAGCCTACCCCTTTAGCTTTTTGGCTGCAGAGACTGTGTCTTATGGTAGGAGTCATGACTTATGCTTCTTGAATTCTGTTGGTTGTGGAGCAACTTGCATTAGAGGTGCTGAGACCAAACCAACATCCCCACCCCTGGATGTGCTTTTAGGTCCACAATACTCAATCTCAAATGCATACTTACATAATGGGCTACGGAAACAATCTGACATTTGCTTGTGGATTATGAGGTAGTAGACTGGAAAACCGCTTAAAACTATGGTGCATCCGATGCTAATGTTCACAGGGTCTGAGTAGAAAGACATTGCCACTGTGAAGAGGCAGATGATGGTAAAAGAGATGGGAATGAACAGGGGAACCTGGGGAAAAGAGCACAGAAGACTCTCAGGCAAAATTGATGGCTGTAGCAAATCAGCCTCCATATGTACCAGTACACACCATATTCACTTCTCCATCTTAAAGAAGATAAATCACATAGCTGCCCAGCTCACTGCTTCTGTACAACCAGTTGCAAATTAGTAGGATTCATTGAACAAAAATTGACATGTACCACCTTCAGAGCCCAGTGTTCCCTGTGAGATGCATGAGTCACGTGAATCAAAGTATGAACCTCACCTGCAACTGGAAGCCAAGCAGGTGGAGAAGGCAGCTATACCTCACTGCTCTCTGAATGTGCTGCTCCTGTACATGCATATGCACACATACCGACTTGTCATGTGTGGCAGCTGCTGGTGGAAAATCTGAAGTCAAGAGCAGCAGCAGCACTTTCAACCAAACCATTTTTCAGTTATGACACTCGAGATTCATTTTAACCTGCCTCCACCTTGCCAGGGACATACAGTGACCAAAACCAGACTTCCTATCTTCATAGCACCTACATTAAGAACATGAGTTTCAATAATGCCCTGATGAAAAGACCAAAGAAGCAGTCAGCACTTCAGCCTTGCCCTGTTGGTTGAGCCAATTTGTCTGATTTATTTGGAGAGTAAAGTGGAAGACTGCAATAAATAATAAACCTGTGAAATATGCCCTCAGTCTTCAAATCCAACCTCAGCCAAGTTACTCTTTGCCAAGGCTGATGGAATGAAGGAGCTGCTGGTCTCATCCAGGGTGGCAATCTCTTTTCTGGTAATAGAAATCCTATTTTGGACCATGTCAAGCTGGAAGAGATCAGTTGCCCTAGAGGTGGCAGCCATCCAGCCACCAAACTTACTTGCTCTTGCTGTCTTTCCAGATGGAGCATCCCCTGCCAGCCTCTCCTGTGCGCACACACTCATGCTGCACATCTGCTTGAGAGGTGTGCAAGAGCACCACCTTCCTACTCTTTCCAGTGTTTTCTCACCATTTTTAAACTCAAAATGCTATAGGGGAGAAAAGTACTAGCAGAACCGCAAGGTATTTTATGCTTCGCTCTCCGTAAGCCTATGGCAGAAGACGACCTGTATCTGGCCACTAGAGCGCAGCATATGCCCACACCACCTGCGTTCAGCTCTTCCAGATAACTGTCCGGCTGGTTTCAAGAGGTTATGGAAATTAGGGAGAGGGGAGAAAAAAAACAACCAAACGGACTAAATTTCCAGCATTTCCCTCCCTCACTTAATCTACCTTTGTGAACCGTTAAAATCCCAATTCTCATCTGAATCACGACATCTGTCTAAAATAAATGGGGCAAAATGTCAGCAACTGAAAACATCACCAGTGCTATCCACTAATAAGCTTCCCCTGAGAGCTTGGTTTAAAAGAAAAGTTATTTAAATTCTGTTTCTGCACGAGTACACGAATGCAGCCAGCCATTAAAACTGGAAAGCTATAAGGTCTCTGCAAAAAGGAAAGCTACAAGGTCTCTGCAAAACACGCTGTCTCCAGCAAAGACGAAGAAGAAAACTCACCCTAAACTTTGCATCAGGCTTTGAACAGCTCAGGGAGGAACCCTGTGGGAGATGTAGAAAGCATTTCTGTCCCCTGAGCTTCCCACTGACCAGCAGCACAGCATCTGTGAGCAAAGAAGTCTCCTCTCCCATGCAAGAGCTGGGTGGAGGCACCAGATGGGAACAAACTGCAAGCCAAACTACCCCAGCCAAACACCTTCTGCACATTATGTGGCAATAGGAAAGGTGCCCTGAGCACAAGAAATCTGTTCAAGCACCAACTCCAGCATCTCCCACCAATGCAGATTCCAGCACCCAGAAGCATGAGAAGGGCCACCAGAGAGGCCCAGTTGAGGCTAGGGAAAGGTATAAGAGGACAAGGTGCTTTACACTTTGTGGCATGCATTTATGTGCTGTGCACACCCTCAGGGCTTGTGGCAGCAACAGTTGCACACAAGCTGCTCTACACTATACAATATTTTTGTGTCTGCAGATGATTCCCCTCAAGGCAGGTTTGCTCCCAGGATTCTTCCGGCCATGCTCTTTTCTTTGTGGCCTGACTCCCTCCCACTTCTCAGCTAGAGCTGAGACTTACCTACCACTGAAATAACACCCAGGCAAGGGTCCCTCCATGCAGCCCATGACAGATGAGTGTCCAGCTGCTTTCTGTGTATCTCCCACTTCCTAGCCTGAAACTTTGCCCCTGGAGCAGGCTGCCATTTTACAGATGTGACTGCTGACACTACATAGAACCAGCTTTATAGAATTGACCACATCTGGCTGTTCACACATGCCAACCAATTTCAAGAGCTGCTCACATGCCTTACTGAGCAATAGGTATTGACTCCTTAGAGCCTAAGGGCAACCACAACCATGCAATGTTCTAATTATTAGCAAATAGAAGAGAGAGAAATGTCAAGTCTGTGCACATTCCTGGCTGTTAGATACATGCTGTGTGTTACCTTGAACGGGCTCTGCAGCTCTGGGTGACGGTAGCGATGGACGATGAGCCCAAGGGTGGCTAATCCTATGAAGAGCCATCGGGAAAAGCTGAAGAAGTTCAATAGATGGTAGATATCTCCGATACACACCATGGTAGTAACCAAAGGGAACTGACCATTGTGAAGATAAAATACAGTCATTAAAACCTTACTGTGGTCCTCGGACTAGAAAAGGGTAATATGGTTCACCTCCTCCAGTCCCCCTGCAATCACAGGCAGCTACTTCACAGCCCCAACATTTCAGAGGTCAGAGAGCTCTATAAAACAGTGTCACAGACTGAAGGCGAAAGGCCTAAACACACTATAATGATGTGCTACAGAAAGGAGCAATCCTTTCAAGATCAACAGCATCTTTGATGCTTTATGTCCCAAGCATGCATGATCCAAAAGACTCCACTGCCAGCACAAAGGCTACCTACAAAGATCTCTGCTAAGTTTTTAGCAGGTCAGTCAACCTGCGAGACGCACTGCAACACAGTCAGGACGAAGGTGGACCATTCCTGAGAGAAAAAAGGAAACCATAAAGCCCAGCTGAGAGCACCTCTGCAAATGCTCCTTCCCTGCATTTCCACTACACCTGGGAATTTCAGTTTTCCAAATAGCCAAAGCCTAAGAGGTGTTTTCATAGGACAACATCAATCAGCAACTGTGGCAGATGGTAGGGGATGCACTTTTAAAAAAGCTGCCCAAGTCTATAAGGCAGGGACTTCGAGATAGTGGGTTTGGATACTGCTGCTGGCACAAGATGCAGCCATTTTCAGTATTCCTCCTTCATTGTTTTTCAGAGGCTGACTTAGTGTCAACATACTTTAAAACTCCTCAGCTTCCACAAAGTTTGCAAGAAAGACAAGACTGCAACAACAGGGTATGCAACACAGTCAGATCTCCTTACCATTAACATGACAGCAGGAAGGGGTGTATGCCTTCGGATGTGGATCATGGAGAAGAGAGGAGGCCACTGTCCTTCCCTGGAAGCCACAAACAGGGTCCTAGGAAAAGACAGGGAGCCCTGTGCATTAGCACCACACTTCCAGATGAAGTAAGATCACTGTCAGTCACTGGGTTGACCTGAGGCCACAGGATACTGTCCCCCAGCACAGGTCTGGCTTTAGCCACACTTTTGGGGAACTTGGTAGAAAAGCCCAGTGTTGAATTCCCATAGCTCTCCCAGGAAAGCTCAACTCAGCACAGAACCCACCAGCAGGACCACTGGCAGCATCCCCTCAGGTGGCCGGTTAGCAGAGACCTGTGGGCAGGTCCAAAGTGATCATGAATGAGTCTGGACAGGAAATAGAAGCAAAAAAGTTTCTGCCATCAGAGAAGGGGCTAGTTTTTCCAGTAGGGAGTGAAGGGGTGACAAACTGCAATTCTTAATGAGAGAAGATCATAAATTTGTGAAAAGGGATTGTCAGTCTACATGTCTATATTTTTCTATATATATAAAATACATAGAAACATATATATAGCACATAAAATATATATTCAAATATATATATAAAGGAAAATAAAGTGCAGTTTCCACAAATAATAGATTTCAATCCTCTGGCCAGCTGTTGGAGAATATAGCTTGGCATAATGCCGAGAGGCCAGCTACAAAATGACAGATCTCCTTGCCTGCATCTCTCCTTTGATTCACGAACGGGCAATTAGGGAGAAGACATTGCATCTAATTTTATAAATTTAATATCCCCAAACAAACCATGCTGGAGCATCAGCTGGGCTGGAGCAGGGCCCAAAGCAGCTGGGGCACGAGTGTAAAATTGGTTTTATAGCTATCTCTGTGGTTTTGCAGGGGTGTGACTGGCCAACAGCCAGGGAGGCCCCATCACTATTTATATGGCCTTTCTGCAGTGATTATGTTAATGGTGCCAAGATGGGGGAGAGAAAGGCGATAGTGATATGCAGAATCTCTGTGCTGCCCAGGGACTTCTCATCCTCAAAGAAAACTAGGATCTGGAGGAGCTAACGGGGAGGATTCTCCCCACTTGTATATAATACAGGACTTCAGGGTAGTGAATCAAATAGCTCATTACCTTTTGTGCTATGATACATCCCTTTCATATCAAGGGATTTTTCCTTTTGCAATCAAAGCTGTGAAACAGAACTAGTTCCAGAGAGTTTGCTCAGCTCCTTGGGACCAGCATGCTGTGCTTCTCCCTGGGTTCTGCCCTACTCTCCAATTTCAAGGCTCCCATAAGCATATGCAGTGTAGCAGCCAGTGAGGCTGGCAAGATTTTTTTTTCATGGAACAAAGCTCTTCTTATTGCTACAAGACTTGCTGAGCCTCAACTACTGCTTTAGGAATAGCTTGTCCCTGATAACATTTTGCTGACCTCAAAGCAAAGTCCTCAAGGGAGAGTTTGCCTCTGGCCAGAGATCCTCACAAGAGAAAGACCCTGTGCCCTGCAGTGGAGCAGCTGAGTGAACCTAGCAAAAGACAACTCAGTCTCTCTGAGCAGCTGCCAACATCAACAAAGCTTCCAGTTCATCAGAAACATTGACATTTCACTTTAAACTAGGGATTTAAACTGAAGCAGGGGGGAAGAAGTTAGAATATCTGTTTGTGACCAGCCCTAGACACCAAAATGTGGACCTGGCCAGAAGTAGGAAAGGTAACTCTTAGCCAAAAGGGATCATCATGTAATTGACATCCCAGGAGTCAAAGGCCTTATTTTCCCTCATGGGCAGCTAAAATGTTACTGCATGGATGGGCAGCTGCACAAGTTGCTGGTGTTTCCCTCTGATAAAGTAAGCCAAAAAACTAATAAATTCTTAGGGACACAACCTTGAAAATGTGAAGATTCCTCCATTCATGGTTCCAAAGCAGGACAGCGAGACAAGGATAGGGATTACGGAGGTCAAGCTTTTGAAGGCTTGTTGCGCAAAGCTCTGGAGGAAGAACAAATGTGACTTTAGGAACATGTGGCGATCTCTAGGCAATATCAGATTCAAAAGAGAAAAAATTCCTCCACTGAAGGACTAAAACATAACACATAAATCTTACCTTTTCTACTGTCACTGCAGGTTATTTTCCATTATCTTTCAGGCAAGACTAGAAGAAGTTATTGTTACCCAATAGTCCAGAGAAATGAGAAAGCAATAAAGCATTTTATAGGAAAACCATCTCCAAAACACTTGCCATGACCACCCCTTCAGTATAAGCTGACCACACTGAAGAAAGGTAATGGTAGGGGTGACAACTCACCACAGCCACAGCAGGAGAAGCCAGAACGTCTTGTGTTTCCAAGACTGTGTAATAAGAGACATTGGTGAGCATGTACCCCACAATTACTGTGATCACGGACACGATGACAGCCAGGGGGATGTTTCTACAAGAAATGCACACAAAGAACAAGCTCTTATCCCTTGTTATGCACAGTATTACCGCAAATTGCAGCTGATATTGTTTAGATGAACCCACAAACGTATTTCCTCTCATACTGTGTTTATGAAAGCCATGGTACCCCAGAGGCTGGTAACCCAAGATGACTTCTTCCCAGCCTTACCGTTCAGGTCTGACCAACTCTTCACGCACAAAGCTGGTCTGGAACCTGCATGGTGGGAAGAGACAGGGACGGAGTTTGAGCCATGTCTGGGACACCAGTCTGCTGTCCATGAAGCACCCACCCTTCACACCTACCAGCCTGAATACGCGAACATGCCTGCATAAAAAGCCAGGGGAAGTTTATCCAAAACCAGGGACTGTCTGTCAAAAGCATCCTGGAAGTTCTCAGTGTGGCCTACAGAAGAAATAAACAATGGACACAGAGCAAGGAAATATCAGAGATAATCTTCCTTCCCACAGGATAATACCTCTTGTACCTCTTGCCCAGACCAAGGAAGAGTGTGAGTTCCTTGGAGCTAGGTATTCAGATTCGTTTCATTTTTTTAATTTGCAGTGCTGTACCAATGCACTTACTTCATAGTGACAGAACAAACCATTCCCCATCCAGCTACAGGAGACATTTCAGGAAGCGCAATGTCTGGTTCTGTTTCAGGCGGAGCCTGCTGTGGCAGCAGGAAATTGTGGAGATGAGTGGACCTAAGTTGTCCTTGTCCTTTCTTTAGGTCCCAAGTTAATTTGCCAGGTTGACCCCCCCTTTTTGTCCCCCACGGCTCCCTAAGCAGCTGGATGCACACTCCTCTTTGATGTGGTACAGCCAGCAAGGCGGCTAATTTGGCTCTCTCTGTGCTCCCTCCTGATCCTGCTGCCAAAGGGCTGACCCCAGCCCCATGCTGGCCAGAGTATGGAAACCAGGGTGGAGGAGGGAGTGGGAGGCAGCAGCCTGGCCACCTGTTCTGGCAATATCCCTGCCCACCTCCTGAGGCTCACCAACAGTAGAAGGACTGAGGATACACAAAGCAGAGCAAATATAATTTGAAAGTAGATGAGGCTCAGATAAAGGTCCTGTTTTACCAACTCCCCTGGTTTTCCTAAAAATTCTCTGCTTGAAATAGCAACAGTTGGGATTTTGGATGTGAACCATAGAATAGGTTAGGGCTGGAAAGGACTTTAAGATTATCCAGTTCCAACCCGTGTGCCATGGGCAGGGATGCTTCACAGGAGACCATGTCGCCCAAGGCTCTCTCCAGCCTGGCCTTATTTTATCAAACTCCAAAACTAAACAAACCCCTAGGGAAGGAAGAAACACCTAATGGCCTCTCATTCAGAGAAAGACCAATAAAAAACTCAGTCAAAGGATTTGCATTTTCAAATGCAGGTGGTCCAAGATTTGGTTCCACTTCTATATTCAGTTCTTCCTAACAAAGTATCTTTAAAAGTAAAAGATGCAGAGTTTGCATAGTTGTGCTTCTCCAGGAAAGGGATGGAATGGCAACCAAGCACATAGAGGGATTCAGGCCACTTCTGTGAAGGTGCCTCTGCAAGGAGGTCTGTGATGAGATTTAGGCATTTGGGTTTGAAACGCTGGGCCAGCAAGTCTCTAAAATAAACCTGAGCCAAAAGAAAGGTAATGGCAGAGGAAATGACATGAGTGCAACCAGAAAAAGAACAAGAAGGCAGGGGAATAGGGGAAACTCATTTAAAAGCACAAAATCGATTTTTAAGGAAAAAAAAATAAAAAAAGGAAATAGATTTGAAGAAAATGAAACAAAAACATGGGAGTGGGACTATCCAGGTAGGTTTTTTATGTTCTAAAATGACTGCTGATAAGTGATGGTGCATAAAAAGGATTTATTGTCTGCATTACATTAATGAGTGATTTAGAGTCCCTCATGAATCACATTAAATACAACCTGTCATATTGAGGTCTCTTCGTGAATTCTCCCTCCAGATGTCACAGGCATTTATCCTCCTCACTGGAGGACGGGTGCCAAGGCTCCAGATTGTCATTTAAAGGCATTCCTAACAATAATGGCTCAGGATTTCTAGCTTTAGGGCGGTCCTCCAGTTCAGAAGTGCTGCCAGCCCAAGGGGATATTTGCATGTTCAAAGGAGCCAGCACCAGACATTAGAAAGAAACAAGAACGTGGAGCCTACTGCCTGTGTTGTTTCTCTGCAGAGGAAGGTAATAGCATGAAACAGGAGCAAGCTTTATCCCTTGAGCGGGAATGCCTTGGGCGTTTCTATAAACTGAGGCACTAAAAAATACTCTTGAATCATTCCCAGAAGATACCACTGGCAGGTTTGTTTCTTTTCCCCGCTCTGGATGTGAGTATGCAATCTAGTCTGCAATTCTAACTTGGCAAAAACCCATTGTGAGTTTACTAAGTTACCACTCTTCTCAATTAGAAAGTAAAAACCATTAGCTTAAGCCACAGAAGGGTTAGAGATGCTGTGACCAGGGCTCATCTATGAGGGGTGGTAACTCATTACACAGCTGTGACTGGCTCAGGTCACCAAGGGATGCTGTCACACACCCCTGATGTCCATCAAATTTGCGCTGTTCTGGAAGGATTTCAAGCCACACTGTAAACAGGCCAGTCTGATGCCAAAGAAAGACTGCCTGCAGAGGAAGGTGCCTGTATGACCCTGGGCAGGTTCACACTGCCTCAGGCACTGAGGCTCACTCAGGTTTGGAGAAAGCACTGCTGAGCCAAGTTCATAAGTGCAACGATACAGCTTAGTGCCAACTACGCTGGTCTCAGCTTCCAGCTGATTCATACCCAGCACAAAGGCAGAGAAGGCTCCTGCCAGCTAAACGAGTAATACCTTGTCACTGGGGACTGATAAAGGCCATGTCAGGCAGGCATGTCGAGCACCCTCTCTCAGCCACACAGCAGCACACCTACCTTTGGCAAGCAGCATCATCCCTGGCACGATGATGAGTGCAAGAGCCAGGAGTTTGACAACAGAGAGAGCCGTCTGCAGCTGGCCACTCCAGGTGACGCTCCAGGAATTGAGGGCGAGGATCATGTCTGGAGAGGAGACCACACTGCCACAGCTGTAGACCATGCTCGATGCATGCAAGAAAAAATACAGCACCCCTCCTCTAGGGATGACAGGGAGAAGAAGGCTGTGTCCTTGGAGAGGATGCTTGTGGTGAGAGATGTGAGAAAATATGACGCGTGGTGCAACATACAGCATTTGGAGGGGGAGCTGGGTTCTGCTCCTAAGTGGGACCAGGAGCCTGGCTCCTGTTGGGTGTTCCATGCCTACCTAGGGGGAAAGTGGGAGTTTGCAGGGACATCTGTCCCAGCAGCCCCCTTTCACCAGGGTCTTGTGCCAGCACACACCAGCCAGAGCAGGCAGCACAGCTTCACAGGCTGGGTACACGAGGTGAGGAGTTCAAAACCTTCAGCCTTACACCCTCAACCCAGGTGACATTTGCACAATTATTCATGAAGAGCTGCTACACTGATATTTGGCACAATCCTCCAGCCTCAGGCAATAGATGGTCAACAGGGAGGCCTATTCCACTTTTTGGAGAATATAGTGGCCTCAAAATAACACCTTGGATAAGGAAGTTTTGGGTGGCTGAGGTACGTAACATGGGGCCCCATCCCACAGTTATCCCAGAACATATCACCCCATAAGTGCCCCTGGTCTGGGGCAGAGAGGCTCCAAGATCAGCAGTCCCATAACAGTTAGTACTTACAATACCCCAGGAGAGACACAAGCTTCACAGCAGGGACAGGGGGTGCACAGGGGGCGAAAAATGGCTCCAGCATGTAGCTTCCAAACGCCAAAGAAATAACAGCACTGTTGGCAGGCCTGTGGAGGGAACCAAGCACAAGCTGTGGTCTGCAGACAGCTGAGAAATGGCATGATATAAAACAGCACAAAACTTAGGAGGGGAGGTTTCACCAGCCAGCCTAATCCTGCTGACCCATGCAGATGGTAAATTCCCGTTGGTTTTTCTCAGTAAATGGGTTAAAAATCACATGTGGAAAAAAGATTCATTTCCAACCTGAAAGCAAAAGTCAAGATTAATCATACTGAGCAGTGCAGCGGGGTTAATATGTCCTTCTTCATCTCAGTTTATGTGAAGGACGCAGGTTATTGAGAGGTGAGGACTTTCTTTTTAAAGTTAATAAAAAGAAGTAATTTACAAGTTTCTAAAATATTAAGTCAGAAAGCCAGAAAGTCAGAAAGCTGAGCCAGAAAGCTGTCTCCACAGGACAATCCGAGAAAGTTTCACAGGAAAACAAATCTGAAATAAACCTGGCATTCATTGTTAGTCTAAAAAAAATACCATGGCTCTTGAAGGATACCAGCTGCCAAGGGAGAATAGAGATATTCTTCAACTACAGATCGCATTGAACATGCGTAACTATTAACTCATGATGCCTTCTTGTTTTATCACTGTAAATCTTTAAAAGTTGTTCAGGTTGTTTCTACTCTTTCCTTTAAAAACTGCCTAGACTGTTACCTGCCACAGTAACTTTGGGGTATTTTTAAATCATCACAGCATCCAGCAAAAGGCAAACAAAAAACCCTCTTACCTAATAGCAAAAAACTCTGCCCACAGAAATAAGAAACTTGGCAGACGCCCTAGTGTCTCCAAAATGTAGATATAATGTCCTCCAGACTTGGTGATTCTCGTTCCAAGCTCTGCATAACACAAGGCACCTGTAAAAGTTCAGGTAGGAATGCACTGAGTAAATCATCCCATGGATTTTCTCCTTTCTGTATAACTTCTCAGGGATTGAATGAATCTGTTTAAAATAAGTAGGGAATTAGAGGAAGAAAATTTGGAATAGCAGAAATACTCTTCCCTATTTTTGTGTGCTACAGTGCTTTGAAGTAATCAACTTTTCTGTCAGAAGGAAAAAAATTCTCCATTTTCTAGTTAATGATGCAGCTTTTCCGTGGAAGTTATGTGGAAACATGTATGATGGAGACAGTGCACTAAGCTATGAAAGGTTCTCTTTGAAAAATGTCCTGGAAGTTTGGATTCTCACTTCTCACAGACTGGTGAAATGGTGCAGTTACAGCAGCTCAGCCAACAGGCCGTGGCTGAACTGGTCATTTCAGTCATGTTTTTGACCACAGACCATATTCCTATGTCATTATCTCATATCTTCACATAAATCCCTTCCTTCAAAGACACAAGAGAGGGGACCTGGAAAGGCATCTCTCTTCCAGGTAAAGGGGGAAGACCTGGTACTGGAGGAAAACATAACCCCAATGGTGGAGAGCAAGAGAAATGTCCACATGACAGGCTCAGTTGGTCTTTTCTCGCATGTCCATATATGAGTGTACTGACAGACCTGGGGACTGCCTGTTCCTGTCTTAGCAAGTGCTCTGTGCCACCCTGCCCCTGCTCTGGAGCCCAACAAGAAACCGTGAGAGAGGTAAGCCATAGAAGACAGCTTAAAGCTTTTAGGAAAGTAGATAGAAACCTGCATGCCTCTGCCTGTGCCAAAAAAAATCCCATCTGTGTTTTCTCCATAGAGCAATTCGCAGGGCCATTTGAACATATCCAAGTACAAGTTTTAAGCCCTGCCTACACTGGATTCAATTGCAAGGTTAAACATCCTCTGTCCACCAGAAATCTCAAAACACCTTACTTCTATGAGCACAACTCCCCCTCTAAATGGGATTTGACCCTGTGGGGTGAGTACGTCTGTAGCTGTGCTATATACTTCTTTGCCCAGCTCAGCTTCTAGGAGTGGAGGGAGGGCACAGAGGAAGCCAGTGGTGATATGGCCATGCTTCCAAGTCTGATGGTGATTGTGCCATATGCAGGTCATGCCAGTGGTGAGGACCTCAATTTTTCCCCACCTTTTTGTTGGTAAATCTGTGCAGAATCTCTGTTCAAAGTGTCAAATAGAGAAAGGCACGTCATCTTGTTTATTCCAGTGGGTCTCCTTACATGATTCAAGTGTGCAGTTATGTGTTTTGCTGAACTTACGCTATAGGACTTGTATAAATGCTGTACTTGAAAAAAAAAAAAAAGCCTAAAAGAAAGCAGGCCTTTTTAATTTACTGCAAAAGACGTGTTAGAGAAATAATCAGGAAAAGTAATCAAGTTGATAAAAGGGAAGAACACACCAACAGATTAGGCTACAAAATACAATCACTTGATAAAGAGGCTCCCAGAGCCTTTCCATCAGAGTCTATCAAAGGATGCAATGAAGAGAGAAAACCTTTCCATTTGGAAGCAGAGCTCGTTATGTGATCAGCACACACATTATCATTTATTGCTCTGCTCAGTTAAAAGAAACACCGTGCTCACATTATATGTTAAGATTTTCTTTAAGCAAAAGTGTATAATTTGCCCAAAAAAACCCCACATATAGGCTGCAACATGAAATATTGGTACACATATGCTAAGAGTAAGAACCACACTTGTTGCCATACTGACAATTGAATGTCTCAGTTTCTAAACTTGTGTGTACATGCCACAGTGCCAAAGTGTTTTCTTCCACATAGAGTATTTCTCCCTTCTTGTTTCTTTGTTTTGGGTTGTTTGGGGTTCTCCCCCCACTCCTCCCAGGTTATGACAGAAGAGTTATAAAGTCACAGACTGAAATAAACATCAGATTTCTCCCCAGAGCTGACAGATCTTGCAGTTCTCCTAACAGCACCTTTAGAGAATTTCTGAGATGGTGATTTTATACAGTTAATAGAGGAAACTAAAAGCCACTCATTTTATCCATCACAACTTTAAGAGCTACAGTATTTCAGAAGAATTAGGATGAAACTGTCATCAATAGTTAACCCTTTGTGAGAAAAGACTGGTACTAAATGATGCCAGAAACCAAGCCACAGGTAACACACAGAAAGCAGGGCTGAACTGATCTGCTCTATCTCCTGCTCCAAGGCAGCATCGGACACTTCCAAACCATTTCTGACAGACAACCAAACACCCATCCCTGGGTGGTGGATACTCTGCAGCTCCCCAGGCAATCTGCTTCTCTATCCTCACCCACAGAAAGGGGATTCCTTCTGGCATATTAAGACTGTCACTTCTTGCCCTTTTCACAGTGTCTATGAAAAGCACTGCACAGCCTTCAGACTTACAAGTGTCTTTTGGGGGCCTGCATCTCCTTTCCACATGACAGGAGTCCCCTTATTTTTCTCCCAGCTTTCCTGGCAGAGACCACGCTATCTCCATCTGCAGTCTTTGTCACCCCTCTGCCCTGGACATGAACATTATTTCATATTCACAACCATAAGTGCTGTGATTTTCTCTGTCACCCCAGTGAAATGATTTGAATGAAGACCCCTGGTGACATCCCAGCTTGTTATGTTTTTTTTTCTATTGCAGCAGGAACAGGGAACTTCTGAATTATTTTTCTCCCAAGTTTTTACACATAAAAATGTGCTACATCCCCTCACTTTCCAGTTGCTTAAGCAAAGGATGACAAAGCTTACAACTCACCAAACATTGAGAGGACCCCACAGGCAAACCAGACAACCAGGGACAAACCCATGCTGCCAGAGTTTTTCAGCACTCCTTTTGGGGAGATGAAGATGCCACTGCCAATCATACTGCCGATGAGGAGTGAGAAAGCCCGCAGCAAAGTTATCTTTTTCCTCAGAAAGACAGGCTCCTGTTCCTTCTTGTCTTTCCCCATGGCTTTCTTCTAATCCCAGGAGAAGATCATGCATTCAGAAGCTACAGACTCCCAAGTGTCCTCAAAGATCACCTGTAAGATGAGGAGAGAGACAGGGATTCAGGGGTCATCTTTTCCAGACAATTTTTTTTCACAAAAACCTGTCAAGATCTGTTGAATCTCTTCTTCTCAGGTGCTGGATACACCAACCAAGCCATAAGTGCTTATAACACACTCAGCACCACCTCACATCAGTACAGCTCCTAAGAGGTACTGTTTTCTGCCTCTTTTGCCAAGGAGCACAGAGCATTGCAAGTTGCATGCCACACTTCAGGGTATGATTGCTGAATTCAGCTCTGATGCCCAGACTGGAACTGGCCAGGTTAGGGTTAGTTTAATGGAAACTGATTTGGGGGAAGATACCAGCACGCTGTCAGAAAGCAGATTCCAAGTTGCAAACCTAATAGTCAAAAGCTTAAGGACTTCCGAGTTTAAATTTGTTTGTTTAGGGTTTTGGGGCTTTTCTTGAGGAGCAAATTGCTCTGTTAGTTGGGGTATACAGATGTTTGGGTTTTTTAACTTCTTATCCATCCTTGCTTGAATGAACAAACCCTGATTTTCTCATTAGGGCTTCATTTTACCAGTGTTTCTCAACATATTGTCAAACCTTTTCCCTATCAGATTATTGAAGAGTCAGGAGTAAGCACTGTTTTCAATTGTAAGACAGAGGACAGTCATCAGTATCAGATGTGTCATTTCTTCTATGAATATAAACTTTATTCATAGTAACAGCAGGAGTGAAGCTTTCCCTAGGAAACAGGGAACTTTGGACATTCCAGGGATCACACGAGTTGATCCAGATCTAGTTCTCTTATGCCACAGTAACCTCCTACTTCACTGTCTTGTCTCTCCAAGTCTTTTTCTCAGTCCTAGCCTTGCACCTTCACCAAGAAACTCACCTTCTGCTTAGGCAGGTAGGATGAATTCGCATCAGTTACTGTAGTCTAATTTGCAATAGCAAACCTGTTTGTAGTATTCCTAACACCAAGGTAGACATTTTACACTGCTAATTAACAGCAGAGCTCATGGTAGAGCAGACAGGACAGGTCTGGAGCAGATAATTTGGCTCCTGTCCCAGCCACACAGCCACTCCAATGCTCACATACTCTGCTTCAGTAGTTTTTTTTTCATTACTCTAACTCATTAAGTTTCAGTATCATGAATATTTACCCCTGCCTTGTGGCTGTATACTACTACAGTTACACTGTACAAGAGATCATATTTTGATGATTTCTTCACTTAATAATTGCAGTGGTGTGCCCAAAAGCAAGCAGCCAGAAACTACTTTCTCAATAGTCGGTGCTTTCCACCCTTAGATATAAATGTCCCCGTAACATTGAGGGGACAGTTCTTGTTATCAGTCATCCATGATACCTTTTTGTATGCCCTGTATAAACTCAATAAAACTAAGGGCTTCTCTCCCCCACCCCCAGCTATTTTCCCACCTGGAAACTGTCAGGAAGAAGCAGGGTTATCACTTTCTCCACACACATATGACCAGCACATGCAGAAAGCCCTCTCTCCTGCCAGCAGTGTTAGCTGGTTTCTCTGAGATTGCGACAAGCCTGCACAAGCATCTTCTCAATCAAAGCAGCTGAGTTTAGTTATTAAACCTCTAATGAGTCCCAGAGCACTCCTCAAGGCTCAGATGAGTCGCATCAGCCTCCTCTGGTCCCGCAGAGCTGCTCCTCAGAGTCCCAAAACTTCACAGGGCTGCTGGAGACAGCAGTTCCAGAGGGGCAGGGAAAAACCCCTGGGAGATAACTTCCCGAGCCATCAGCTGCAGTTCCCTAAGACACTAATTAATTAGCTCACATGAAATGCCGATATCATCTGGTAATTCTCAGCAAAAGGAGAACCCCAGAGCATTCATTTGCAATGGTGAAACAGAGGGCTTATCGAATTGAACCCAACTGAAAAGAGGTGTTGCACACAGCTATGTCTAAAATGCTGTTGTGAGATAATTAAAAGGGCACTTATCTGTTTGGCTGGGCTTTAAATAAAGCAGGTGCCTTTAAAATCCATCAGGCCCCCAATTCTTGCTGGGATCCCAAAGCAGCAAAAGACAGCTCCTCTTTGCAGGCTCTGAAATTAAAGAAGGGGACGGGGAGGAAAAAAAATGGAGAGATCAAATCAAATTTACAGACCAGGTTAACGATCCAAAGTAAATAACAAACTCCATACTTCTGTCCACATGCCTTTTTTTTTTTTTTTTAATACTCCTGCCATGCAAAAGCATTTGGAAATTAAACAGTCCAGTCCAGTAATCTATCAGGACTTGTTCCAGAAGCTCTTGAAGGAAGGAGGGAAAGAGTAACAGAAAGCTATTGAATAGCACTTCAAAGAAACACCTATCAGAGCCTACTGCCTGGAGAGACCATTCCTGCTTGCTCCACTTTCCAGCTGCATTCCAGCACCAGGCACATTAAAATGCAGAGATGCTAATCCTGTGGCAATGCTTAAGAATATTCACAATGTGCTTAGCACAAAGGAAATACACAAAGCTGCTTTTTGTTTACCCTCTTGACTTAAAGGACAGGCTCAAATCCTTCTCCATTCCAAAATACAGCACCTTTGCATGAGCTCATCATCCAATCCAGCAGGACTGGAGAAAAACCCATTTCGCAACTTCTCACACCTGCTGGATCTTTACTCCCTTATTCTTTATCTTTACCAATTTCTTTATTTATTTTTAGCTGTTAGTCTTACCTCACAGGCACTGCAGCATGGTTGGAGATGAAGGAGACAAGTGTAGAGAGAAAATCGTATTTGTTATTCGTGGTGGTGCCTAAAGGCCCCAGCACAGAGCAGGACCCACTGTGATCGGTACACAGGCAGAGTCGGTTACACTGCTGAAAAGCTAGAGATATAAACAAGCAAGTTAGAAAAAGCAAAGGAAGAAGAAAGCATCATTCTCAGCGGGGCTGCTGAGACCTAGAGCAACTAGTGACCTTCCTCCTCCTATCACATGGGAAGTGTGTGGCACCCCTGAGAAACAAATCATACCTTCAGAATCTCAGTTCAGTGACTTATACCCAAAAAAAAACCCACCCAGCTACTAGGGAATACTCCTAACAGTTTACAGCTGTATTTTCGTTGTATGGGCCTCAATCAATGCCATACAGCCAAGAACAGGTTAACCCCTTCCTTTTCCTACAGCAAAAGATGCAGGCATCAAAGCTTTCTCCTCAGTCCCACTGTTTATTTATTGTTTTGGTGCCAAAAATGTCACTCTGATTCAATGTCCACCACAAGGCGCAGGATCTAACTAAATAAAATCAGCAGTGAACAGAAGCTTTTTTTTATTCATGCATGAAAGCAGCATAAATAAGTTTTAATGAGACTGGTGGTGGTCTGTTCTGGGAACTCAATCAGAAAATCTAGTTAGGAGAGCTGAGAGATGTTTGTTTATACACCAAAACAAACACAAGAAAAAGAATGAAAAGACAAGACATGCAGCTCAACTTCTTTTCAGTTTTCTACAGCTGGTTTACCACTCCCATTAAGGAACTGAAAGGGACAGTGATTAATAAATCAGACACAGGCTTGCAGCCTGAGCTGCAGTAATAAATCCAGGGTGATTGCCTTAGGTGTGAATGTAAGAATCATTTCCATCCGGTCCTGTTTGTACAGTTTCACAAATTTAGTCTCATGAGTTGTCTGTCTAAAGACTGCCGTTTCCTAATGTTTCTTTCTTAATGAAAATATTTTTAAGCCCTGACAGTAAAATAGTTCTTGGCTTAGGTCACACCACTTATCATTTCATTTAAGCATTTCCAGCTGTCATTTGGACAAGAGTCACTTTTTCTGGAAAACAGACTGATGATGTGATGAGCCTGGACCTCTTGATGATGTGATGGTGACCTTTTAATTGAAAACCTAAAAAGTGTTGAATCCACGCTTTGGTTCTTTGGCTAGGAATTAGACTAAACTGAGCCTGGTTTACAAGCAGCAAAATTCCTGCTGCGTTCACAGTTCCTTCCTACCAGGCTTTATATCCTACACCGAGTTTACCAATTCTTTTCTATCACCACTCTGCCAAAGCAGGCGCTACAAGTGGAGATGTTTTAACAATCGTAGCACTGATTCACTTTCAGAAGGTGTACAGATTATATGACATCAGATGTCATCTCACTCTCCAACTGCCACAAGAAACTCACACTTATTTGCATCCAGAACTCATTTTCCACAAATCTTGTGCAGGAATATTGGCTTTTTCATGAGCATTTTACTTTCATGTTGCAAAACCCAAACATGGGAGACACACACCTGATTAAGACAAATTCAACTCCTCTATAGCACCAACTATTAAAGACTATCAGAAAAGATCACCAGCATCCTGTGAAAGGAACTAACATGATTTCCCTTTCTTACAAGCAGGAGAAGGGAATACCCCAGGCACTTGTCTCTCTGCCCATTGGACCCAAAGAAGAAGCACCCATAGGACAGACCCTGGGGCACATAAATGTTAGGGGTAAAAAAAAGAGAAAAGCCTCTTAACAAGGAGACTGTCTCACATAGAAGGGCTTCTTAGGCCAACATCTTGGCTCTATAATACCACTTGTGGGGCACAGTGTAGGGAACTGTCCTTAGAGCTTTGCTCTTTTGTGGATGCCTCTCCAAGTAGCAAAGCTGTTTTCACTCTCCAGACCAGACCTCCTCCCTGGAACAAGACAATTTGTCCTATTTGAAACTGTTTTCTTAGCTGCATAAGACAGAACACAAACAAAAATAAATCTAAACATCTCTAGCAGAAGAAACCCAACAGAGAAGCCTAATGCTGTAGCAGAGTACAGCCAAAATTTCCCCAAATGAGAATTATTCTTAACCATTTCAAATAAAAAATTAATAACAATAATCCTATAATACAGGAACATGCCCCCTCCTCCCAGCAATTTGTCACACTGAATCAGTCCTGTGGTCTGAGGGTTAGTGGGCTTTTGATGTGGAGCTGGGCAGTGCCAACACGCGACAGCCCTCCCCCTTGCAGCAGAAAGTCCTCCATGAACCAGGTCCTTGGTTTATCTCTTGGCCTGGCTGAGAGCTACAGACGATAGCTTCCTAGGCATTGCTTCGTGATTTACCAACAGCAAGCTTAACAGCTTCAGGCTGCTCGCTGGGGAACCCATGCCTGGGGCTGCTGGTGTGAGGAGCTGCTATGGTGGGGGGCTTTACCAACACCAATATTCCCATCATTGGTAGGCCAACGGCACCATCATCCAGAACCACCCACCCTTTTGAGTGGCAGACTAATCCCAAAGCTTTCCTTAAAATGGTCTTCAAGAGCAACTCACACATCCTGAAGGGGGGAAATACCAAAATGGCCATGTTCATCACCAGCTTTCCTCACAAAGGGGAAATTCCCCATAAATGCAAGCTGGTTTATCCTGCAATGGAGACAGCTCTCAGTGCAGAGGAAGCCCTCCTCTGCTTCTGCTATTGTCAGATGTTGGGCCCCATCTGGTGGGGGTTCCTGATATGCCCCTGCTTTACCCACCTGGAACTGAAACCTTTCGGAGCTGACTGCATTCATAAAACCCCTATTTCCATATTGCCTCATATATTACACTGATTTCCCCCTTAGCGTCACCGCTGTGCTGCTGATTTATCACCCCACGCCTACAGCTCCCTCGACCACAGTGCCTTGCTTTGCTCCTTCTCTTCCTGCCTTGAAACATTCAAAGCCAACAAGCCTTCATTTCTGCATTAGCCTCTCACTCCGATTGCTGCTCCCTGTCTACCCCATAGCTAATCCTCAGTGTTCTGTGATAAATCACCCACCCCAGTATCTGACTTGCACAGGGCCTGAACCTTGCCTCTAACCTACCTCAGGGTGGGGGACTCTCTCCTTTGGGCCTCTCTGCTCAGCTGTTACTCATTTATTAAAACACAAGCCAAACATACAATTATGCTGGAGGGAACACATTTCCTTGTTAACTCTTCCTGGCTCCTACCCAGAGTTTCTTAGGCCATGGGGATTCATATTTTAGTACGCAATATTTCAGATTCATTGCTCACTGTTCCCCATGACTCTGGTGGAAGGAAGGGGGACAAAGAGGGGTTTCTGTGACCAAAACCACTACCTCATCCCCCATAAGACAATGCACAGGTAACAGGGAGCAGTACCTTGTAGAGAGACAGCAAACCCTCCAGCCAGAAGGAAAACAGGACTACGCTCAGCCCTGCCACACATACAGAACCTCCCTCTAGCCCACCTGCGGGTATGGGCTGTGCTGGCAGCTGCCAGACAGGAGCCTTTGTGGGGCACA